CCGTGAAAAAAGAAAGTGCCAAAGCAGGACTGCAGTTGGACATTAAGAAGAACAAAATAATGGCTACCGAAGAACTACACAACTTTAATGTTGACAATGAAGAAGTTGAAATAGTTAGAAATTTTGTAAACCTTGGTTCAGGCATCAATTCAAATGGAGACTGCAGCCTAGACATCAGAAGAAGACTGATACTTAGGAGGACATCAGCAAAGGAATTAGAAAAGATCCTCAAATGTAAAGATGTGTCACTGGAGACTGAGACCAAGATCATCCACACTCTTGTATCCCCGATCACCTTGTGCAGGAGCGAAAGCTGCACAGTAAAGAAAGCTGACAGGAATAAAAACTGATTTGGTTGACATATGGTGCGAGAAGAGAGCTAGGCAGATAGTCTTCCAGAAAGACAAACAAATGACTCCTAGATCAAATCAAGCTAAACTATCTTAGGAGGCAAAAATGATGAAACTCAGACTGTTATAATTTGAGCACATCACCTGAAGGCAAGATTCACTGGAAAAGACAGTAATGCTGGGGCAGATTGAAGGCAGCAGGAAAAGAGGAGGATCAAATATGAAATGGACTGACTTCCTAAAGGAAACTACAGGCTGGAGTTTGCCGGAACTGTGTAGACCTGTTGAGGACTGGACATTTTGGAGATCTCTGAGTTTGCCGGAACTGTGTAGAACTATTGAGGACTGGACATTTTGGAGATCTCTGATCCATAGGGTTGCGATAAGTTGGAAGCAACCTGACAGCAAGTAACAACAACGACCCAAATAAAATATTTTTTTTATTACAAAGACCAGCACATATACCACATGTTATGCCTTTTCTGAACTGTGATAGCCCTCTCCCTTGAGCTTTGCAATACTGGTCAGCTAAACGCAGAACTTGTGGTTGTGGTACATTGCAGTCTGTTTACTGTGTCTGTGTCAATACAGAACATTATACAGAAGCCTGTCCATAATAACAGAAGAAAGTTTTTGGAATCTCTCTTCTTTGTCTCACTAACCAACCCTGACCTGGCTTCTTTGGTTACAAGCAATCTCATTCACCCTATAATAGATACCAGTCACCATCATGTGGATGGGACTGTTGAACTCCAGCTGCAGCCAACTGCACCCGTCAACTTCAAGAGGATTCCTGGTATTGGTTGTGGTCCTGATAGGACTGGGAAAGATGTAAGTGCCACCATTTCTCACCCTATCAATATTGGCAACTAAAACCACTGCCATAATAGCACAACCTCCAGATACTACTCTCATGAGTGTTTCTGCATTCACTTTCAGAGATCATCACCATCAAATCCATGATGGCTCATTTGATATTGACCCAGATGGTCTATATCAATCCAGAGGGTCTTCCCTACTCTTCTGCCATGTGCTTCAGGGACAGTTTCAGCACCGCTAACCAATATCTCATCCATCATCTCCCTTCAACAGAAAGTGGAGAAAGAAATTAGACTCTATTGCACTTGGAATATACTGCTCTGCCTCCCTGTGTGTTTCAAACTGTACAGCATCCATGGGGACCCACCAACAGTTCCTCTGGGAGAAGATTACCTTCCTACTCAACCAATTCCCAGAATACAGGAGAAAGGTTGCTCTCATCTTCCAAGCCAAAGTTCATAATCTAGCTGGGCACCAAATTAATACTCTCGCTATGTTGCAGATTGCACTGCTGAGCAGACCTATGATTTTGACCTCCTGGTATTCTTTTTCCCAGAGCAAATTCAGAACCCTGCCAAGGGGAAAAGCTATTGACTAACCCCATCTCTCCTTTGATGCCTCACCAATTTTAACTTCTGCCCACTCCCCTTCATGATCCATCTTTGAAAGTACCTCCATCAGTGGTGTGCCATCACAACAGAGTCCTGGGTGCTAAACATCATGAAGTCAGGCTGTGGCATAGAATGTAATACCCTCGTATCCTCAAGGTAACTTCAGGTCCACCTCACTATCACCTCCTCTCATGGCAGAAATCTCCATTGTACTCGTCAAGGGATTCATAGAGTACCATTGCCTCATCTAGGAAGAGGTTTCTGTTCTCACTTTTTCATAGATCCCAGGAAAGACGGAGGGCTGCACCCCATCATGGTTCTCCACCATGTCAACACATTCATCATCCTCACTGTTTCAGGATGATAACAGTCCAGTCCATTGACCCATCACTCCACCAAGGGGACTTGAATGCGTCTATTGACCTCCAAGGTACAGTGGGGTCTTGACTTAAGAACGACTTGAGTTAAGAACATTTTGACTTAAGAACCGCTCTCATAGGAAAATATTGATTTGACTTACATACTTAGATTTGAGTTAAGAACTGAAAAAAAACCATGTGGGAGGCAGGGAAAGTGCAAAATTTGAACTTTCAGTTAACTGTTGGCCAGTGAAAAGGGTGCCTGTCTGCTTCCTCACTCCTCCCAGCGTTTAGAGAGTGGATTGGGAGACAGTCTTCAGACTGCCTGGTACTGCCTGGACTGTATTTTCCCTGCCTTCCCTGAACCTTTCTTGACCTAAGAAAAAAAGAAACAAAATATTCCCCTCTAGTGGTCGAAGGCAGAATAGCAGCTTCCCATTAGTTTCTATGGACGGAAAAGAGCAGATACGGATCAAATGGTTTTCAATGCATTCCTATGGGAAATGCAGATTTGACCTGAGAACTTTTTGACTTGAGAACCGCCTTCCAATACGGATTAAGTTCTCAAGTCACCCACTGTACCTACTTCCATATTGATATCCTCCCTTACCACAGGAGGTTCCTCCAGTTTTGTTATTGGAAACAATATATCCCAGTTCAGAGTTCTATCTTTTAGGCTCTCCACAGCTTCACACATATTCATAAAATGCATGACAGTTGTTCCTGCCCACCTTTACACTCAACGAATTATGGTTTATCCTTCTTTAGATGATTGATTTATAGTGGGTACTTCTCACCCCATTTATTTATGGGACCTTTACTTCATCTTATAGTTCTTCTACTGTCAAGGCTGAGAGTGAACACAACAAAGTGAAAACTTATCCCCAAGAAATCCATTGTTTAATAGTTGTCCATCTAAACTCCTAGGCCAGCAATGATGAACCTATGACACGCTGCTAGAGATGGCACATGGAGCCCTTTCTGCTGACAAGCGAGCCATAAGTCGACAGATCGCTACTCCCCCTCCCGCACAGCCAAACCTCAGAAGACGGATGCAGCCGTGGTGCTGGCGCTTCAGCAGGCAGATCCGGAGCAGCTGGTGCTGGCAGCGGATCCGGAGTGGGGTCTCGAGGCACCTCCGTGCCGGAAGTCCCCCTTCCGCCGCCACTTCTGGTTCCGCCGCTGTGCACCACCCGCTGGTGTTTTTTTTCCCCTGAGTTTGGGCACGCGAGCCCAAAAAGGTTCCGTGCACCACCTGCTGGTGTTTTTTTTTTTTCCCTGAATTTGGGCACGCAAGCCCAAAAAGGTTCGTCACCACTATCCTAGGCTGTTGTAGCCACACTGATAGTCAGGCTATGGCATAGAATAAAACTTTATTACGGTCAAAGACCAGCCACAGTAGCCACACTGACATTCTCTAGAGTGTCAGTGTTCAGAACAAGACACTTGTCTTGCACACAGCTGCACTTCCTACATGCCAAACTCAGGTCATCATGACCTACTAAGATGCAAGAGTTGTTTGGGATGCAAATTTTGACAAAGCCACCTTGTTGTCGGTTCTTCAGTGACATCCAGCCTCTCCAAAGATAGGTTTACTAATCTCCTGGAAGTGCAAGTCTGCAGAGACCAGAAAGCAGGATGACAGGTTGCTTACCTGTAACTGATTTGGGGAAACCACTTGAATCATTTGTTGTGTTGAGCCATTTCAGTTGCTTTTGTTTGATTTGTTCATTGCAAACAGCTGAAAGTCTGTAGAAGAATTTTAGTATAGCAAGGCTAGATTTTTGTGCTGCTTGTAACACATGGGCCTTGTGGTTCCCTTTATATTGGAAAACGATGCCCAAATATTTATAAGCCCTAATTTGTTCTATCTCATGCTCATCAATTAACCACTTATAGATCCTTGGCCTCTGAGCAAACACTAACACTTTGAGTAATTTATCTGTAGCGTTTCCTCTTTACAGTATTGCGCAAGAGCGTGTAATGCTCTCATTAGTCCTATTGGTGTCTGTGAAATTAGGACTGCATCATCTGCGTATAACAGAAGAAAGTCTGCAAATTTTGGCAGTAAACCTAATTTGCAATGGGAGTTGAATAATTTTGATCACAACTGTAGGTGTCTTTTCTGGGACATATGGCCAACTTACATTAATGTACTGTATATGCCTAGTTTATGTTATATCTTTTATATCTTCCTTTCCCCCTTCTTTTCTTTTCCCTTTCCTTCCCTTCTCTACTCCCTTTTCGTCTTTCTTTTGTTTTGCAATAAATAAAAAATATATAATCATGAAAATACTTTACTTCCGATGTCTCTCTCCCAACACATTGTGAATGTAGACTCCGTACATTTTTAAGTATAACTAAGATTCATATATCTGTGCCATATGTGTCGTGCCCTGCATTCTTCTAGTCCAGGTACAAGGGGCACCAACTTTGCCAAAGTGCTTGTACAAACCTTTTTGTATGCTAGTTGTTCAGGGCAGGCCACGTAAAACATTAACACTGTACCCAGTGCTGAATTAATTGTATGTTGAAATAATTCTGAATATTGCCATGAAAAATTCTAAAACGTACAAAAGAAATAAGAGAGCTTTGGAACAAGTAACATCAACCTAATGCTGTGATGTACAGTATGTAACATACATTTTTAAAAGCCTCAGAAGCTTATTTAAAAATATCAAAATGCATAGATGTATGTTTGTGCCCTCAGCCTTCTTGAGAGAATTGTAACAGAACTGGGCGCTTAACAATATTTTATTCATCCCAGCATTTTAATTCAAATGTATATGAATTTGCTAGGAGAGAGAAAGTAAGTGGAAGTCTGGGATTACAGTACTTAAAGCAGCTGCATTTCTCTTCAGCCGCCAGAATCAGCTGAAAGATCAACAGCAGCAGCAGCAGCAACAACAGGTGGTGTCACTATGCCAGCTTCCCGATGAGGCCGAGTGTTTGACTGTGCCAAGGTACAAGCGGGACCTCGTGCAAAAGCTCAAGATTCTGAGGCAGGAACTCTCCCAGCAGCAGCCCCAAGCTGGACACTGTCGCATAGAAGTCTCCAGGGAAGAAATTTTTGAGGTAACTTTAGAGATGTCTTAAAGAAAGAAGTCTGCAATCCTAGTCATGCTTTTATGGAATTAAATTCTTCTTTAATCATTTAGACCAGTGGTTCTTAACCTTTGTTACTCGGATGCTTTTGAACTGCAACTCCCAGAAACCCCAGTCAGCACAGCTGGTGGTTAAGGCTTCTGGGAGTTGCAGTCCAAAACTCCTGAGTAACTCAAGGTTAAGAACCAGTGATTTAGACTTCCATCTGAATAAATGTATTTTGGAAGATTTCAGTACAGCAGCGTATACAGTGCCCCCTTTTGGGAAAGCGTAATACAGGGGAAGCAAACAGGTTGCTTGCAGGCTGTGTGCTCCAGTGCCTTTTTTGTGTTCCCTGAATTTGCTGTTGTGCCACTTAGAATATGCCTCCTCCCAGCAATTTCAGTTTAAAACAAGGTACATATTCTGCTTCTTGTTTTAGAATGAACATGTGAGATGTGGATTTTTTCCTGTTGTTGTTGCTTCGACTTATATGTTACCTCATAGTAGTAAAGTGGTTTACAGTAGAGATGGGCATGAAGCACTTCATATGAACCTATGAGCATGGCCCCACAGGTGCCATCTCCCATCCACCCCAGCTGGTTGGGCCACTTACCCTGCTTTACATGCCACCAGGGTCCTTCTTCTCTGGTGGTGCTCCAATCTGGACAGAAGCTCAGCCAGCCCATCCCCACCTCCTCTGGCAGCCAACCACTCTGACAAGGAGACAGGACAGGGATTCTCCCCACACAGCCAGTGAGTGGTCGGCTGCCAGAAGAGGCAGGGATGGAATGGCCACCAGCTGGGTACTCATTTTACTGACATTGGAAGAATGGAAAGCTGAGTCACTCCTGAGCAAACTACCTAAATTTGTTGGGATCAAACTTAGGTCATGAGCAGAGGTTTGACTTCAATCTTGCAGTTTAACCACCATACAGTGGAGCTCTGTGCCATGGATTCACTGCCACTGCCAGAGTATAATGGTGCAGAATGGGTTAAGTGAGTTAAGGAGGAGCACCCCCCCCCCAATTGCTAGTTATCTATTACTCTTGTAATGGATAAACATCCTGCTGTGTTCAACAAAGGTGATTTCTGGAGCCCACATTCTGAGGAGACTGTGGAAATCATCCCGGTTTAGTCTTAGTATGGACTGATCAAAGCAGTTCTCATGTGTAACAGAATTTTGAATAGTATAATATTGCACTGAAAATCTTGATTTTTATGTTTTTGCAGGTAAGGCAATAACTAAAACAAAATATTTACAATTTATTAATGCATATTAGCATAAGGAATGTTTGGATTATTTATCCTAAGTGGAATTGTCAGTGTAAAATATATGATAATACTCAGAAGTGAGCATCTAATGTAATTTCAGGAGTCTTACAGGCAAGTAATGAAGATGAGGCCGAAAGATCTATGGAAGAGACTAATGATAAAATTTCGTGGAGAAGAAGGCCTTGATTATGGAGGAGTTGCCAGGTGAATAATGATTTTGTTGTTGTTTAGTTTGTTAAGTCATGTCCGACTCTTCGTGACCCCATGGACCAGAGCACGCCAGGCCCTCCTGTCTTCCACTGCCTCCCAGAGTTGGGTCAAATTCATGTTGGTAGCTTCGATGACACTGTCCAACCATCTCATCCTCTGTCAGCCCCTTATCCTCTTGCCTTCACACTTTCCGAACATCAGGGTCTTTTCCAGGGAGTCTTCTCTAATCAAATAACGATTACCCACTTTAAATACTTATTATCTTGGTTTATGATTGCCACTGTTGAAATGCAAAATTCTGATCCCTGGGTTGAACATAAGGTGGATTTGAAAATAAACTGTATTTCTCCCCCAGGTTGGCTGGAATTCTAGCAGTGTTTTGTATGTTTCTGGTGGAAAGAAAAAGTTGACTGTAACACAAATTATTTCTCCCTAGTTCTGAGGAGAATCAATACTTCTAGAAAGCCAGTATCCCATTTCTTCTTTCCTTTTTCCTTCAATCTTTCTCACCAAAGCAGAAATGGAGAGTCGCTCTTATACCTTGTGTATGTCTTGCCTGCCTGCCTGCCTGCATGTCTGGCCCTCACATGTGCATTGACTCTAATGGTGGATCAAAGGGGTACACTTAAGGATTCTTCCAGTCAAAGTCCAACATGCTAATCACCGCCTTGCCCTTTGTGGGCTCATTATTCTGTGACTGCCAACAATGCCAAATAAATTGGGTATATTTGTGCTGGTTTCTGAGAGAAAGAGTGTGTGTGCGCACGCAAACATAGACACAGAAAAAGAGGTGACTCAATATAACTAGTGGGGTTGTTAATTCTATTTGGTATTGTGACCTTGAGGCCCACGTAGGTGAACTCTGCTTCAAAATTTACTATTGTATCACTGCTCAGCTTACACTCTAGACCAGGGGTCCCCAATCTTTTTAACCCCGCAGACCAGCTGGGGAAGGCGGGGCACCCCCTCGTGCTCACGCGCATGCACAAAGGAGCATGCACTCTCTCGCATGTGTGAGCGCTCGTGCGTGCACATTCACAAACGCTGGTGCTGCGCTCATGCAGGCACACAGGCATTTTTGCACATGCGCAAAAGGGTGGGGGAGCGCTTGCATGCACATGCACAAAGGAGCTGTGCGGGGAGAGTGTGTGCGGGGTGGGTGGGAGGTCTGTCTCCACGGCCTGATCTGGCTCAGGCCATGGACTGGCACCAGGCTGCGGACCAGGGGTTGAGGACCTCTGCTCTAGACAGACCTCCCACCCCCCGCACGCACTCACCCCCACACAGCTGATTTGCGCATACGCTCTGGCCCACCCATGCGAGCGCCGCTGTTTTAGCATGGGCACAGGCATCTTTCAGGGCTTGGCTTTCCTTTGCTCTAGGACACACAGTACTCCTCTCTTTTCTTATATTTTCATCATTGAGGATAGTAGGAGTTGGTGCATGAACAGTAGACAGGCTGTACTTTTCATAATCAGGTTCTGAGGTTGTATCCGTTGCATGTATTGTTCATTGCTATTTTAGTATGTAAATTCTTCGCATGGTTTTATATGGAAAGGTAGCTTTATAAATAAAAGCAAATATTAGTTAGCAGCAGACAGCATGTATCCATTGGTGCAAGAAAAGGGATTTAGGCTGATCAAAGGAAAATGTGGGATGGGAGCAGGGGAGGAGAACGAAACAAAATAAGTGGAAATTGTGATAGCAAGAGAGAGCAGGAGCAGGCAGGATAGGGATGTAGGCTGTTGTCTTGTGAGAGCAAGGCAGCAGCAGATCTTAGAAGCTTTCACGAAATGAATTCCAAATTGCACGTGCAGGTCTTCTGTCTTTTGTTTCTTGAGCACACCCTTCATCTTACAGCCAGGTAAGTTAACCGTGCTACCCAGATACAGCTTTTGATCTTTTTATATGCATACTGAGTGTTGTGGTTCATTAGTCCCTACAGATGCTTTACTGGGCCCTGTGCATCCCACATTCTTTTCCCCATTCTTCTTGACAACCCATAAGAGATCAAACCCCTCTCTTGTTAGATCTCTACATTTATCTGTAGCTTTCATTACTAACAACTGAGTACTAACACCTGAGTTCTCGAGATAATGTGAATATTTCAGCATACTGTAATTTTGTACAGTCAGTTGTGTACAAATTCAGTGTGGCTATTCATTAATAAAATGTGTGATTGGAATGATAAACTTCTTTTACCATTTAAAATTTGTTTTCCCACTTGTACACACAGATTTGGCATTTTGCTTGTACTGTATAAATGGAAGTGGTTGTGACATTTAGTGACAACCACTTCCAGTTACAGTATACAGTACAAACACAATGCCAAATCTGTGTGTCCAAGTGGGAAAACAAATATCCATTTAACTAAAGAGCTGTTGCTGTTTGGTGGGGGAGCTGCTCTGAATAAATTAATCCCATTTATGTATAAATTTACGGCAAGAATCTCTGACAATATTCTGCTTAGGTCATAACTTTACTTTTATTGTTGGAGGCCTGTCTTTTTGTGCAGCAGTTGTCTAATCTTGAAATGTTTGTGTTTCCTTCAGGGAATGGCTGTATCTACTATCTCATGAAATGCTGAATCCATATTATGGCCTCTTTCAATATTCACGTGATGACATATATACACTACAGATAAACCCCGATTCTGCTGTTAACCCGGTATAAAGAATTACTTTTTTATTCTTCCACATTTCTGTGCCCAGCGCGTTCTTTTCCATTTTTTTGTTCATGTTACATCTAAATTTTCTGTGTAATGCTTAGCTTAAGTTTTAGATTAAAAACTACCTCAGAATGCCTTTGTGCCCTGAAAAGGCAGGGCATAAAGTTGAATCAATCATTCAGTCAACAACATTTCTCCTTGGAATCTTGGAATGTTTACAAGGAAGCAAATGCAAGTTATTGTTCTAGAACTCCAATATTGAACATAATATGTTGCTTGAACATCCATGTCAGTGTGCAGATATTTGTGATTTCAAACCACAAGTCATTCTTAGTAACATTTTCCATTAGAATTATTGAGTTACCAAGATTCCATCTGTTATGCTCATCTTGTTTATGGGCATAGGCCTGTGAAGACAGTGTAGGAACTTATCCCACCTTCCTTGCTAATGACTAAAGTACTCCTAACTTAGGAGGAGATGTGTAGACAAAAAGATGAAAACAGAGTTTGTTATTTGTCCCAGCATCCACAAGTGCCTGGATGCCAAAAATCCCAATCTAACCCTATGTGCTTTGAAGTTGAAAGACCAAAAATCCCAATATTGGTTGCATCTAACCCTATGTGCTTTGAAGTTGAAAGAAAGAGATTGATTCCTGCTTTCATCCATGTATGGAGACTCCTAACGCATCTGTAATTAATATTCTTGTTCATATCTGGAGTCTCTCTGTGCAGGTTAAACCTAGATGCACAAGAGTTCTTCAAAGCACCATTTGCAACAATAATAAAAGAACAATATCGAACATAGGAGCTCATGTAATTAAAATCTGGCCATCTATATGTATATATTATAACTTAGAAACAGCATAGGCACTGTTTAAGATTTTTATCTTTTAAGGGTTTTGCTTTTGTACTGTTCTGATTTCTGTGGCATTTGGCAAGCTAATATGTGTTATAAAATGCCTATTAAAAATTCTTGTAGAAACATCTGAATAAATCATGCATTTTGGAATTAGATCAGGAACCCTGCTTTGAGTACATTTGTTCTTTCAATTTCAGGAACACTTATCGTACTTCCACTTTGTTGGGCGGATCATGGGGATGGCTGTGTTTCATGGACATTACATTGATGGGGGCTTCACATTGCCTTTTTATAAGCAGTTGCTGGGAAAGCCAATTACATTGGATGACATGGAATTAGTTGACCCAGATCTTCACAACAGCTTAGTATGGATACTGTATGTACCAATTCTTTCAAAAATCCTGATCAGAGTTTAGAATGGCTGTTGAATTTACATATATTTGACTTATAACAATTCTACACACACAAAAACAGCTCTAGATGAGATAACTTAAGAACAGAGAGGAGAATTTGCTGCAAACTCCACCTCCCCCATGCTTCATTCCTTTGGGGATAAACTTTTTGGGACTGTATAGGTGGCATCAGACCCTTCCCACATGCTTTCTGTCTCAAAGCCTTCATTTCTTACTCCCACAATTCCATGCATTCTCTCCTTCAGTTGTTCCCTCCCTGTGGGCTGCTCGTTCACTAATGCTATTAACCACAGTAATGATAGTAGCAAGGATACTTGCAAGGATAATAGTAGCAAGGATAATAGCACCACCTCCAGTAGAACTCAAGTCTTCTTAAGGATGTTAGTTTTTCTCCCCTCTTGTTACTTCATAGAGCATTAGAACCATTCTAGACATTTCTTCAGATGTAAGGTTACCTACCTTTATCATGGAATAAAACACCGCTTTTTAAATTCATTTTTCAGAAATACATCAACCTCATTATCGGGAAGGTTTTGTAAAGCAGAGTAAAGAAAATAATGTACTGTATCTTTATTCTTCATGACCCCAAATAGTTTTGGGAAGGCCACAATTTACTGAGATAGTCCAGGCAAAGAGAAATGTATAAGAGCAAACATGTTTCATTTGTTAACGACATACTCAGAATGTGTTTAGACATTGGAAATTTATTTCATTTAACTCAATTTTCTCTGTTCCTTCAGTGAGAATGATATTACAGGAGTATTGGATCATACATTTTGTGTGGAACATAATGCTTATGGTGAAATTATACAGCATGAACTTAAACCGAATGGTAAAAGCATTCCTGTCACAGAGGAGAATAAAAAGGAATATGTCAGGTATTTAAAAGAACACATTGTTTTAAAGAAAGTTTTTGTTACAATGTCCTGTCTGGAGAGTATTCTGTCCTGTTTGGATTAACAGTCTGCCTGTGTTGTGTAGTAGACGGTTTGTAGTTACTCTTTCTTTTCTAGTGATAATGCCTGCAATTTGAGGGTGCAAATAAAAAATGTCAAATGTGAAGATACCACTTTGAAAACAGAATGTGGGCTTTGTTGCAGGCTTTATGTAAACTGGCGATTTTTACGAGGGATTGAAGCTCAGTTTCTGGCTCTGCAGAAGGGATTTAATGAAGTAATCCCACAACATCTGCTGAAGACATTTGATGAGAAGGAGCTAGAGGTCAGTGCTTTAATGTTATGTTGTGTCATCAAGTGCAATGAGATTTTTAAAAAAGCTTTCTTTAATTCATAATTCAAAGTTGGTTCTCAATATTTCTATATATAAAGAGGTTTACACACTCTTTAAGAATAGCAACCACAATTTACAGAACACAAAGGGCTTAGAATTCATAAGATTATATTCCCTTGAATTTTCTACCATATACTGTCTCTGTCACTAGTCAAATTTGTTAATAATACTCTTCATCATATATATTTTTACATTCCGGTATTTCCCAGACTACATTGCCTTTTGGGTGGCTATTTTTTTAACCTTTGTCAAGCTGTAAGAATTTTGTCAAGAACCTGTATGTTAAACAGCGGACCTGGAAAGGTGTGAATAGTATCCAGTCTATAGAATCTCAGAACCAAATGTAGGTACTGTATTATGGTTTTGTGGAGGTGACTTAAATATAAACGAGAAGAAGGGTCTGTGGCAGCTAAAGAGACCATGAGACATAAGCATATGCTTTTTTGCAAGGATTGCGTGTAAACTAGTGAACACACACAGTGGTATATGTGAACACATAAACAGAGGCATTTACACCCTTCCCTGTGCCTTTCTTGAGAAAAGAGGGGAGTTCATTCTAAAGCATGAGGCCCTGATACCATACATCGCCCTTTTTGTGGAGGTGAATTAAATATAAGCGAGAAGAAGGGCTGTGGCAGCTAAAGAGACCATGAGACATAAGCATATGCTTTTTTGCAAGGATTGTGTGTAAACTAGTGAACACACACAGTGGTATGTGTAGACACATAAACAGAGGCATTTACACCCTTCCCTGTGCCTTTCTTGAGAAAAGAGGGGAGTTCATTCTAAAGCATGAGGCCCTGATACCATACATCGCCCTCCCAACCCATGTTTCACTGCCATTGATGAAAAATGCAGTTTTTTTACTAATCTTCCTTTACTACTGCAACTGCTGCTTCCTGTTCCTGCCACTTCGATTATAGGCAAGGAGTCCTTGTTGGCCTAAGAATTGGAAGGGATGGCTCCTGGTACTGTTATAATGACTGCAGTGGGTGCCAGATTGCCAACACACCAGTGCTGCTGTTGGCCCAAAGCTCCCATGTGTTGGGCTGATCAGAAATGTTGCCACTTTCCTTGCTGCTGTTCACATGATCATGTGCTTAACCACACATAGATCAGCTCTAACAGGTAGCCATGTGCACATGCTTAGCCTTTCTGCAAAGGGAAGACAGAGGAGAATTGCTAGTTGCCACAGCAGTACAAGCAAGTCCTTGTAGGAGTGAGAACAGAATATCAAAAGGAGAAAAAAATCACCTCAAGGACCACACATAAGCCAAGAAGGGGTGGGATAGTGAGTCTCCTTGTGGCTGTCAAGCTCTCTGGCAACCTTCTGTCTCTCTCTGTGTGTGTATATGTGTGAGAGAGCCATAATCTATACTCAAATCACCTTTGAGACAGCCTGTTTTCGTTCTCTAAAGTACATCAGGTATAGAGAAGAGGCACTGCACTTCCTTTACAAATACAGCTTTCAAAAATAAAGACTAATTAGTTGGACATAAAAGTTCATTTTGAAAACTGAAACTGACTGTAATATCTTACCAGCTGTCATTTCTTACCACAAAATTAACACAAGTTACTTTTATTCCTTATCCTTTAGAGGCTGTCGATTAGTATTTGTAATTTTGACCACACATAGCTTCTGCCACTGACTTTGTATTTGTGCCAATCTGTAGCTCATCATTTGTGGCCTTGGGAAGATAGATGTCAATGACTGGAAAGCCAACACCAGATTAAAACACTGCACACCAGACAGCAACATTGTGAAATGGTTCTGGAAAGCCGTGGAGCTCTTTGATGAAGAGAGAAGAGCCCGGTTGCTGCAGTTTGTGACTGGGTCGTCCAGAGTGCCTCTGCAGGGTTTCAAAGCATTACAAGGTAACAAAACCGTAAAGATCAATCTCATTTGTATTGCTTCCCCAAGCCCTGGCCCATTGCCCCAGTGAATGCATTTTCTGAAATAATCCACTGCTGCACAATATTTCTAGTATATTCAGGACATTCTGTGAAGACAGACTTGTCATATCTTAAGGTTCTATGCATTTTTGTGTGAAGTCTCAGTATGGGACTCTGTATAATTTACACTTCAACTTGCGACTTAAGTCATATTTAGACAAGTTTAAGTGTAAGTTGTGATACAACCCAATAGAAACATGCATGTATGTTCCTTCTGGATGTGATCCTCTGGATTTCAGTATTCATCTTTCCATTTAGTTACTAAACCTATGAACATCTCAGGAATTGCTGCCCAAGCTATGTCTGACTCCCAGGCAGGCGTTTGCACGACACAAGACTCAGTTCATGAGCTTCTCTCTATCCCACATGTATCTTGGCACTTAATTTTCTTTTATAGTAACAGTAATCATTATTATCTTAGAACTATAAAGGGCCATCCCCCATCAAAGAGGCATAGTAGGGAATTGCACTGCCAATCTCTGGCTCTACAGCCAGATACATGAACCACTAGGCTATTATCCAGGAATTCATTCATTTTGTTCAACACAAATACAGTGAGGCCTGTACTTTCCTTCCAGTGCTATGCAACGTGTTACTTTAAAAAATTAGTGTGTTGTACGCACTTGTGATGCAGAAGGAGCATTGAGGAGAGTCAGCCCACTGGAATTTCATTTAACAATGGAAGCATGATTCCACTATGAGATGATGTGAGTGGTTTCTAGCAGTACATCATGGAAAGCCTCTGGTCAACATTTGCCATATGATGACTGTCTGGAGAGGAAAAAGTTTCTGTCTGCAGTCATAGGTTACATTTATTTTTATTTTACTTCTTTTTTTAATGTTTCCTTCAGTTTTTGTTTCTCTCTGCTAAATATCTACCCTGTTTCCCCGAAAATAAAACCTAACTTGAAAATGCGCCCGTTAACCCTTCCCTCCACCCGTGTGCAACAACCAGAAGATGACATGACTGTATTTGAATGAATGTAGTTGCACATGAAAAAAAAACATGCCCTGAAAATAAGCCCTAATGCTGTTTTTGGAGCAAAATTAATATAAGACCCTGTCTTATTTTGGGGGAAACATGGTAGTACATTTTTTGTGTTATGTTGTACAGAACTGAACAATATTATCCTTCTTTTTGTAGGTGCTGCTGGCCCACGACTATTTACAATTCACCAGATTGATGCTAGTACGAATAACCTGCCAAAAGCCCACACATGGTTAGTCGTGATCCGTTATTATTTCTATGTGGAAATTGTGGCAAGTAAAGTTATCATTCACAAATCTACCAACTTCATTAATCCCATTACATATATTACCATATCATGAAAACAGGGGGTAACAGTTATTATAGCTGTAAAAAAGGTGACGTAAAATGGAAGTCCATCTACATTTGTTTGCAAGTGTCATTTACCTTGTTGATCTGTACAAATTCCAGGAAGACTTTGCCGCAGTGCCTGGCTGGGGCCTCCATGGTGAGAGAGGCCTCAGTATCCCAAGTCTCACAATCATGGCTTGTAAGGGTAAATTTTAAGCAGCAGTTAAAAGCAAAGCTTACGGCTATCATTTGTTATTTCTTTATTATTTCCTTACAGATTTTTTCCTGTGGATAGCCTAATCATTAATAACGTAGTACATGTCCATGGGGGAATACGAGTGTTTTAGTGTTGATCACTCTGTTTTTCTTTACATGATCTAAATCCTAGAGAGTCTCTGAAAACATACAAGCCACTGTAGACTTATTTTGAACAATCTTGTTCTCAGTAGGCAGTGTTGCTAGAGCAGCATAGTTTGTGAGCTAAAGATTATGGCTATGAAGACTGTGGCATTTCCACTAGTAAATTCTCAAGTCACAACATGCCTTTTGTGCAGTGATATAAAATTCTGCATGTTCAACGTCAGTTCAGTTGTACTTCATTTGAAACCCTGTCCCAAGACAAATTAACACCCCAATGGTTCAGTTTTCTGTTTTAATATCAACCCCATGAATGAGTGAAATTGGGGATGCTACTTTCTTTTATGTTGCATCTGAATATGCCTAGCATTTTTTGTTTCCCATTCAGTTATTTGGAGCTAATCCTTGTAGTTTTACTAAAAAACGTCAGTGGGGAATTCTGTGTCTGATCTAATTTAGCAGGACCCTAACCATAGTTCAACAGATTACATGTATAGAGTAGAGGCTTGCATTGTACTGCATTTCATTTGTGGGTAGTTGTTAGTCAAGTTCATAGTGTGTAACCCTGTTTACATTTTTGCTCTTTTCTTGTAGCTTCAATCGAATAGACATTCCTCCTTACGAAAGCTATGAGAAGCTCTATGAAAAGCTGCTAACCGCCATTGAAGAAACATGTGGGTTTGCTGTGGAATGAACATTTGCAGACTTACTTGGAACTGTATTTATACTCCATCAAGCAGAAAAACCTCCCTTCCGCCATGACACAGTAAATGCTTGAAACATAGGAACTTCTCTTCCCTTTTTCAGCTTTAGGACAATATGAGGGAAAGGACAATTTTTGGAATTCTTCATTCAAGAAAATGTCCTGTGGCTCCCGCCAAGGAAATTCAGCTGCTATTTTTAAAAGAACTAATATCTTGAAGATACAGAATGCTGACTTTTCCTTCATTTCAACAGTTAAGCAGTATTCTTCTCTTAAAAAGACGACTACTATTTTTGTAAAAGAAGATCTGATCTATTTGCCTACCTGATTTCTATTCTCACAGGTCCAATATACAGCTGTGTCGGTACAAGTCTTGTTCCAGCCTACTTGCTTAAATACATGATACTGAACAGCAACTATGCCTGCTATTTTTTTAAATAAAATATTTTGATTATTCTAATTTTTCCATAATATTGGCAAAAGAAATCACAGACCTTTTAAACTAAGGCCACTTAACATACAAACTGTTTTTCTTATAGCAAATGATTATATTCTGGTGTTCTGACTTCAGTGTTCTTTGTGTAAGAATTTTTATATTTCTCAAGCATGAATTACAGGTTTTGGGGTCCTGTTTTTATCTTGTCAAATTCTTTAGCAGAATCCTAATCTGAGTTAACCTGCACTGCATTTGGTACAGTACTTTGTGGTAAATGTCAAGAGCCCTTTTAAAAGATTATAGGCATTTAGCTTTTTTAAAGGAGCATTTTTGTAAAAAGTTAATACTTGAGGGTTTTTTTAATTTGCTTTCCATTTTAAATGGAACTGCTGCATTTTTAAAATTCCCAAATGTATGTTGATGATATCAACTGCCTTCTGCCAATCCATCAATCAATTCATATTTCAAAATACTCTGTGGATGTCATACCAACCAAAGTTGTGTTTTTTATAAATTAGATACAGACACTCTGCATTTTGTATTAATTGTTGCTAAATAATCGTACCAGGTTAAAAATGTCTTCATTTTTAACTGCTTGTGATGTATGGGCTTGCATTAGCTACAGCTGAGAGGAAAAATGATGCAAGGGATGCAGAAAATTGTAAAAGTTCCACCTTTATCTGAAATCCATATATGTCTGATAAAAAGCAGGCTGAGACAGAGAATAAGTCATTCCTTTAATAAAAGTAATTATATACAGAAAAATTAGCATATATAGGAGCATTCAGTTGGAATAAAAATACACTTTTGCTGATGGCTATGTGAGAAATCTTCTCAAATAGCTATAAATTTTGCAGACTTGTACCTTGCATATAGCTTATATACATAAGCTCCCCTTGTAATTGTGTGTGGGTATACTGCAAAAAGTGTAATTCTTGTTACGCAATTTCATGCTGACTGTACTGGTGTGTGCTCTTAATTAATGCTTGTATCTCTCTGTAATTGCATGTATCCACCTACCTGTACAGCAAAAAGAAATGAAAGTTTGCATGTGGGACTTAGAGACTAAATTCATTGTTAGACCCACATAAGAGTCTACTTGTTGAAATCATTGCAGTGGAAGTTAGTTATGGCTAGCAAGTTTCATTCATTCAGTCGGTCTCCTCTAAATGGGACTAACAAGATTTAGCTCTAGGCCTTAACAATGTCAAGAACTTTGTTCTGTTGAACTGTGAGTATAGTTCATTTTTCTTCTCAGAAGCGAGGAATAGCAAGCTTTGTAAGGCAAGTAATTCTTTTTCTGTGGTGATGATAGATAACCAAGATTACCAAGGATATTGACATAGGTTGGAAAGCAGAACTACAGCCTTGCTGATTTTGTCCAGGATAGAAACTTTCTTCAAATAACTGTCTAGAAGAGCCAGGAGAGGAAGCAAGAGGGCTTAAGTATGTTCACTAGGGAGTAGATTGCCTTTTCAAGCACCTTACAGATGTGGATGTCCTGTAATGTATGTAACATCAGCTGTAGGCAATAATTGCCGTAGGCAATTAGGAGTATGATGCCACTGTACAAATTAGGTAGCTGTAGAAAACCAGGTGGTGGTGATCGATGGACAGTTTGTGACTGTGCCATTGAACACTGGGAAAAGCAAGATGCGGAATTAATTTTCCCCCGCCCATGGCCTATACTCAAAACTATCAAATAAATGCACTGTGCTCTGTCTGCTTAGTGATATACACTTTCAGCTGATTTGGAGGGGGGGCTTTCCCCTGTTTAGGGAATCTGCTTTGTTGTCAGGCTGCCAGAGATTGAACCTTACTTCAGAGGAGCTCTTGGATGATCTGTCAGTTTTAGCTGTTCTTTCATGTTTCAGGAATAGTGCTGGTTTCCATACTCACTGTTTGCTCCTGATGTAGGGACAGGGATGGACAACATGTTGCCTTCCAGATGTGGTCAGACTGCAATTTCCATCAGTCCTTTTACCATTGGCTGTGCTGGTTGGGGCTGATGGGAGTTGCAGTGCAACTTACCTATATGGCCCAAAGTTGCTTTCTTTAGTGTGGTATCCGAATAGTTCTTCAGAGGAAGTAAAGACTTTGTAAAAAGCTTTCCATGCTGTCAGCTGCATAAGGAAGGTCAGACCTCTGTTCTCCCTTTACTGCAGCATAATTATTTCATTCAGCACAATATACTTGCCTTCACCATCCTTTGCACCAGGTTATGCTGGCTTTATCATCTCTGTTAATTGCTTCTGTTCTTGTGTTCATACTGTCTGTGATGAGATGCAGCCAACTAGCACCAGAATGGCAAATGAGAGCTTAAATAGTGTGTTAATAGGCCTCAGTGAAGCAGTCATTTCAGATGGTTTGGGAAGGACAAAAAGAGTCCAGTGTAATTCCAGATTTTGATTTTAAAGCTACTTTAATTGTATTCTTGCTCTAATATTTTTTTTGTCCAAAGATCTTTACATCACAACAGGGCTAATTTTGTAGAATCTAATTCACACTATTAGGGGAAAAGAAAGCACTTCTGTAACTTTGGCCTACACCAGGCAAACTGATGCAAATTACATACTGGGTCTTCTGAGTGCCTTTTTATCTGCTTTAACTATTAAAAGCTTTGAAGCACATAACCTACCAGAAGCTTCTCTGAACCCATCAGTTGCAGCTCTGTATCCTTGCCATTTCTCCCAGTGCGAAACCCAACGTTGTATTGGACCTTTGGATTTGCATCCCAGATTTAAATGTGAATATTTATTTCCAACATGTCCCTCTTCTTTGATGATTTCTTTATCTTTCTGAATTTGCATTAAATGGTTGAGACACCACCTCACATTTCCATAATGTCTTTTCATAAACGAATGTGTTAATATTGATAGTAACTATTTGGTAGCGTTCAACTATATAGTACTCAGTTTCAGATTTAATTTCTAGATGTAAAGTTTTGTAATGGTGCTTTGTACAGTATGTATTCTAATTTTTGCACATAGGTTCAGTTTCCCTAAACTGATTTTATTTTTACCAAAATGTTGTATTGTACTAGAGTCCAAAACACTCAATATTTTTTTTGTTGGTTATTGTTTCACAACACTACATCTATAACCTCTGGTGCATTCCATTGGCTGCATTAATGAAATCAGAGCTTTGCTCCTGTATCATACAACATAATGTAGTCTGACCCCATTGCTTCAGACTTTGCAACTGCACCATATAGTGAACAGGTGCAAGCCGTATTTAACACACACAATTTATTAGTAAATTTCTGACTCTGCCAAATTCTAATAGCTTTGTCTGTAGCTAAAAACTATTCTATCCTTGGTATGGTTTCCCCCCCTTTTCACAGATTGACAGATGTTTTTAGTTGCATTTCTGTTGTATTTATTGCAGAGTGTTTTTAGCATTGATATCCATTGTATTTTCACCAAGCTGTTACATGAGCTTTAACAATGCATCTGTATAAAATGTTTTTTTTAAGTATGTACCCATGCCGAAGTCAAGCAATAAAATTTGTATGCTGTTTGCACTGCCACAGCATCAATGGTTTTTAAAAACACAGTTTCCTTCATGTTTACTTCACAAGCCAGAGCTCTAGAAAAAAGCAATGCTAGCCTTGGAACCAGTTTTCCACAAGCACTTGGTTCATTTTTAATTCTGAGTGTGAATTCCAAGTCATTGCCTGTGCTGTGAAATGGTTTAGGACAACCCTTTTTTTTTCTCTTTTAGCTTTGTTCCTCCAGTTGCGCCCTCCGATCTTCTTCTCCTGCCTGTGGAGAACTAGGAGATGGATTAGCCGGAAGACACAATTGATATAACATCACAGTGAGATATTTAAAATTATAGAAGCTGTGTCCAAGTCAAGTCCTACTAATCTTAGTTCATATATTTCAAATTGTGAAAAACTATGATAAGTATTGAGGGGAGATGAAATTGGTCTCACCCCACCCCCACCCCTAGTTTCTGGGTTCATACAGAGACTTGGGCTGTTCAGTTTTTCATTTTTGAGTATTTATAGAACTTCTTACATGGTAGTGGGCTAAATTTTAGCTTCCAGCACAAAAGATTGCTCAAGCAAACAGCCATTTGAAACAAAGTCCATGTCTCTCAGCCTAACCTTTCACAAGCATCTGGGATAGCAAAACTAAAAGAGAAATATGACAAAACAGTGCCATAGCTACAACAGCAGACATGCTACCTGACTAAAAAAATCAAGATCTGTCTTGACAATGGATGTATTTCATGTAATTGTAATGGGGACTGAAGTCACATATTTATTTCTTCCCCCTTTCCCTTCTCTCTCTCGTTATAACTTAACTAATGAAGTAGTTCAGTTTATGATCTCTATGATGCACTCTAATTAAGGCAAACCAGTAGAGCTTTTAAGTGCATCGGGATGTAAAAGAATAGAATTGTAGAAGTGGAAGTGAGACTAAAAGTCCAGTAGGCTGGGGTAGGGGAACAGAAATCCACAGCTATGGAAGCGCTGCAGTTCACCTTCATGCAGCTCCATTTCATAGCCAAGTGAACTAATATTCACCCAAATAGAAGTGTGTTCTTATATGGACTTTCCTAGAGTAATTCATTGCAGACATGAACACACAAAGCTCAGGTTTTTCTCCTCTGCCAGCTTTAATTCAGTGTCAACAGAATGGTACTCTATTTCTGTGTAATGGAAGGTGCTTGAGGGGGAAGGATAGCTGCATTTCAGGTTTTTTAAAGTTAGACTCTTCTTAAAGAACTGACACACAGAGAAGCACAAAATGACAAAAACTTGGTATTGAGATGAAGAATTTTATAACAATGGCCAAAATCTGTGCTTACCAAAGTAAATTTTTACTGTCTAGGCCCATTGACTCAATAGGGATTTAGTGAGTCATTTGCTCTGTCCGTTCTTCCGTTCTATTGATTCGAATCTACTCAAGCTATGACTTTATCATAGTGAACTGTAAGAATAAGTTAGAGTAGGTTAATTTGTAACTGTAAGAGTAGGTTAATTTGAATCAAACATATGTAGCTGACTCACTAAATCCCCATTGAGTCAATGGGCCAACACGAGTAGAATTTCCTGCATTCATCAATGGGATTTGGGCCAAAAGACTTGTTAACTGAAAGGAAGAAAAATTATCTCAAACAGCCGTTGTATATGGAGGACTCCATGCAGTATTTACAGTATTTCACAGTATCTGGCCTAATGGTTGTTTCTGTCCCTATATCCCTTTTTTGTTATCATTGTAATTGGATAAATTCTAGGGAAAAAATGGCATTCCTTGGGGCTATTTTTTGGGTCCTAGCTAGCTAGCTATGATTTTTTTTCCCATTTCATTTTTACAAATTATCTTCCATTGAAATTGATCTCTTTCTAGAGCTATTGCAGATCAAAGGAAGGTCTGAGAACCAGGAAAGGCTCCTTTAGACACCAAATCATTACATGTCCCCCTCCCAAATTTTGAAAACAGTAAACAGCTGAGGTGCAAGGGAAACGGTTCTTAAGATCCTACCTTTTCTCCTCAAGACAAACATCTCCCTCTACAGCCTTCCCAGGGCAATTTGATGCATCCCATGGTCCCTGCAATGTCTTCCTAGAGCCTCAGAATTGCCTTTTGTGACTCACTTTCTACTTTGTCTCCTGCTGGCTTGGTCTAAGAAAGGCATCTTGGTACCTTAAAGCACTGTATTTAATGTGCCAAACACTGAGTTGCGTTCATTTAGTATTTTTCACTTGATCTTTTTCAAACTTTTTTTTCACATTCTTTCTCAAACCTCTGTACAGTAATAGTATCTGTGGAAGATCAGTGCCAACTCCCCCTTGCACATGCCAAAGAATGCAGAAGTATTTATTGGACCAAGCCATGGTCTCTGCCTCCCTATAGTGGCTAGTTCTAGTAAATAAACCCTAGAAATACTGTACATATTACTGAGGTCTTCTTTAGTATTCTAATCCCACAGATTGGAGGCGGCCCTAGTGTACTATGTAGCTAAAGAAAAGCTAACGTTCAAAGCTGACAATGGAAGCCTTGATTAGTGAAATGTGTGGCCCCTGATAAAGTATGACAGGAAAAACAGATTTTACAGCTACAGTGTGGCATCACAGCAATGGCCACCACACCAAATTTTATTTTTGATGCCTTCTTCTCTCACCTGATTTTTGTACCATCTTGATGAAAAGTTCTGAAAACCAAAACTTGCCGAAGCTCTACATTATAGCCATCTTAATAAAAGATATGTACTGCATTTTATTTCTATTTACAACTATACTGCTTTGTTGATTTTTTTAATGAAACTGTCTTTTTAAAGATCTAGATGTACGATATATCTAGTTTACTTGGCAAACATTTCATAACAGTAATGGCCAACATGTGTATTTGCAGAGGGCACAACCAAAACAAATTTACAGAAGAGATGACAACCATCACTAAAATCCTTTTAATCAAGCAAAGGCCTAGGTTTTGCACTGTCTGGGCTCAGCTGACACCTACGGCTTCCAGATTATTGATGTCCCTGTTGTTTGTTCCAATGGCTGCTTGAAATTGTACTGTTGCCCTTTAATTCCTCATTCTTATTTAGGTAAATGTTTCCCTTGGCATTTAGCCCAGTCGTGTCTGACTTCTAGGGCGCCGTGCTCCTCCCCATTTTCAAGCTGTAGAGCCAGCATTTGTCTGAAGAATTTCTGTGGTCACGTGGCCAGTGCGACTAGACACAGAACGCCATTACCTTCCCACCCTGGTGGTACCTATTTACTCGCATGTACGTGCTTTTAAACTGCTAGGTTGGCAGGAGCCAATACACTCCTGAGATACATCAAGCATGGCATGTGTCTTTCCCGTTTTCTTCTTTACCATTGGGTGAGAAAATAAATATTGATTGCTCTTAAGTTTGGCAAAGCTACTAACAGCAGCATAAAGTTCTTGCAACAGCTAGAACCATTTTCCAAATGAACCCTTCTCTAGAGTTTTCTACAGCTAACTAGTAATATTTGAGAAAAGGGCTCTTGAACCTACAAGTTACTCTAGGAAACAGCTTAGGCATCTTTATTTTGATCATAAACTTTATTGAAAAAAGTCTAAAATATTTGGAAAGTATCAGTTCAAGATTTTCTTCACACTGTAAATATGCTAAGTAGCATATTTAGGTAAGGAACAAAAAAATACTAATTTCACAGATCTAATTCTGGCCCTTTTGGTGTGATTTATTTCAGAAGTGCCTTTGCCAGAGATAAGTCACAGAAGTATTTGCAAGAGATGGATCGGGGCTTAAAGGAGTTGGTGATTTTTGCTATATTGAAAGGAAGCCACCAGGAGTCTGGATTTCAGGTGATCAGCTTCCAGTTCTCGGAAAAATGAGTCATCGTCATTGCGCATTATCATGTCTTGTAGCTCTTTAATCTCTTTCTCCATTTTTGATCTCAGTTCATGTTTCACTTTGTGTAGTGTCTGAAAGAGACAAGAAGGGTTTAGATGAGCAGTTCATCACTTCATTAACAGCTCTGAAAATACAGTGGGAAGACTTACTTTTACATGTGCTCTCTCTCGGGTCTGGATTTCATGACGTTCTTCTGAGACGGCTTCTGCCAGCATTGAAAACTACACAGAACACAAAGAAAGTTAATGTTTTGTAGATGGACACCCCACCCCATACCCTTGGGGGATGGGAAGGAGGGAATCCTACCTGGTCCTTATAATAGTTCTCCATGGATTCTAGTTCATCCTGATGCTGCCGCCTTTGCTCAGCACGCTTCTCCTTAGCATATGCTCTTAGCTCGTGCAGTCTCTGCTTCTGAATTTCCAATCCTTCCTCAAACAGGTTTTTAAATATCTGTTGGACAAAACATTCACAGGCATAAGGTCTTTAAGAAGAAACCAACGCTGCTCTGCCTGAGGCACTCATTAGTTATACACTGTTTTCAACCACCAACAAGGATCCTGCATACCTATCTGCCAACTGGGCAACCCGCCATACATCTAGGCTTGCAGTCCTACAAAGGATCGTGCCAAGTAAAACTGGTGAACCCTTCAGGTGCCACTGGACTCTTCGCCATTGTTTTGTTGTTGGAGACTAAGATGGCCCAGTCACACACACACACATACCAGTTTGGCACTAGTCCCAATAGAAGAGGAACTTAAGTTTCTTGACATAAGGACCTCACGATAAAGGGCTCGGACAAGAGAATAATTCCTGTGTTAACAGGTGCAGCCCTCAGAAAGTTGGACCATGGTCAGATTTCATGCTATACAGATTTAGGAAGTGTCTTAATTACCTCAGTGGGGTAGGCTTGATCATTGGGGTATCTTTGCATCAGATGTCTCAACTCAATTTTCACCACCACTAATATAAGAAATATCTTCTTACATAGCTTATCCACCCCTGCCCCCCACGTGATGCAGACATTTCTAGGTTACTAGTGTGTAATGCACAAAACTACACCTGAATCATGTACATTGGTCCAAAGTGTAACATACAGACGTATCAGTCTATTTCTGGCACATAGAAGATTTTGTGTGTATTTAACCATAAATCAATTCCTGCTTACTTCCACATCTGCAATTTGGAAAAAAAGATAGGAAAATGCATTTTTGTGTGCAACTTCCTCTAATTACACATTTTAAATTCACCTTTCATTAATAAGCATTTTCTAAGTTGAGAACTACCTCACACAGCCTGGAAAAGCAGATGATCTAAAAGATAGCTATGTTCCAATGTGCAGCTTAATCCAGGAACGGTGAATTAGGTTGGTTTCCTTAGGAGTGTGGACTGAGTGAACTTCTACCCCATCCCTGGTCTCAGCCCTATTCATGAAAACCAGAGCAAGCGTCCTCCAGCATTCCCAGGGTGAGATCCTGTTACTGACCTGTTCCTCCCGTGTCCTGGCCCTCATCATCTTCGCCCGCAACTGGACTCTATAATCCTGGTAATACTTTTTGGATCTGGCAATTTGCTGTCTTCTCTCCCTCAGTTTATTCTGAGTATATTTCTGCCGATGAATGCGCTGCTGAAACTCTTGCTAAAAACAAGAAATATTTAAAAAAAAAACTAATTTCCCTGAAGAAAAAGGAACTAACACCGCCATTTTCTGGAACAAAGCAGCAATCCTCTAACTTGGAAGCTGTGAATGTCCTTCTTCTGTTGGGATAGCAGAGCTACAACAAAATCCAAACAGCAGAGAATTTCTCCAAGGTTTATCACCTTCCTGTCTCCCACTCTGTTACCTGCATGAGTAAGACACCACTGCCCCGAACCATGCAAACAGCAGGAGAGCTGATTGTCCTGCTGCCTCTGGCAGGAGAAACCGCAACGTTCACGGCCACCCACCATCACGGTCCCTGCAAACCAGGGCCTCCCATTGAGGACACCCTACAGCGGCACAGAGGGCAAACGAGTTCTGCAAAGCGAGAGCAAGGCCACATTTCAGCAAGGCCGCAGGAGGCCCTCTTGGCGGCGAAGCAAGTGCTCCGCCTCCTCACAGCACTCCGGCTTGCAACTCATGTGCTTTGTTTGTCATGCAGCTGTTTACTCCTGGGGCTCTGGAAATGAATTTTATGTGGCAGAGTAGAATAGGTCTGGTTTTCTGACACTGTGGCATTGCGACTCCCATCATCCCTCAGCAGCACAGCCACGGGTCAGATGTGCTGGGAGATGCAATCCTCTGGAAGGTCACAAGTTAGCCCTCTCATGTGGGCTGAAATCTATTTTAATACAATGTCTGTTTGGGAGGCTACAGTTAAAATGTTGATAGTTCTGCTATAAAACACACATATGTAAATACATCTGTTTAGTGCCCACAACAATCTATGTGTGTGCATGGGTACACACATGCACAAACACACACAGAGAGACTGTGTGTATTTAGCGTTCCTAGTGTCTTCCAGAAAAATGGCTTATACAGCAAGTATCTGCCTAGAAATCAACCAGAAGGTTGTTGTTCAAACCTACCAGCCTTCTGTTACGCGCCTGTTCTTTCTTGATGAGGTCAACCAGGAGGTCATGCTTCTTCAGAGTTTCTAATAACTGAAAGAGAAGGACACAGATTGCATTCAAGACTATTCCCCCCCCACCCCAACACTTCAATCTTCTCCACAGCATCTTGTGTAACATATTTCAAGAAAACTCTTGGCACTGTCTAATCTGAGCCCACTGCCTCCATCTAGACATCCCCCAGGAATCAAGTCACAAGGAAAGCTGGTCCACTTTTAAAAAGAGAGAGACATTCTTCCATTTGAGCCCCTTTCTCACAAAGGCAGTGAGAGTGTTTTGTAGCACTCCTCCAAGAGAGAGTTCTTGGCCTCGGATCCTTCCTCAGCTTCCCCCTGGCATCTCTTTCAGTCTCCAACCTCACAATGTGATCAGAGGGTACCTCAGCTACTCCTATGTCAGCTGGCAAAATGGCTGTATAATCCGTTTTATAGGCTTAACAGGGCTGCAGAGAGAAAACAAGCAGCAATACTGGATGCGTGTTTACTCAGACGTTAGTTCCACTGTGTGGCCAAGAAAGCATGAGCAACACTCCAGCCTTCACCAGTGTTGATCCCCTGTTCCATTCCCTCTTTAAAAGGGGCTGTTGCTCACTTTAGCCTTGAAAGACATGTCACCTCACTCTGAAGCTTCAGTCCATTTCGGCCGGTAGGAGATTTCAGCTGTTCTATCTGTGCAAGCTGCTGCTGCCACATCTTGTTCATTGTTGGGCGGGAAATGTGCAGATGGGGGAAATCTTCCAATAGCCGAGGCAAGAGATCATTCTCCTTGATCCTCACTGTGGGAGGAAGGCAGACATCAGCAGCGACTAGCTGGAGAAGTCATTTGACATTATACCGCCCAGTCTTTAAGCTTTCCATGTCTTTTCTAGGGCAGGAGGGGGAGCAGGGGACCCTCTCTAAACCTGCACCAGGCTACCCAGTGGTCAGGGGGATAGCAAGGAGACTCCAACCACATCTTGAAGACTTCATGGTCCCTACCCCTAACAGCCTGCAGGCTGATCTCTCGCCATTGAGTCCTTCTATTACAGCATTTCCCTGTAATCTCTCTCTCTCTGTGTCTCGCTTTTCTTTTTAAAAAAAGATCTCTGCCCTGTGTGTGTGTTTTTAAGGTCACATGGAATTAGTCTAAACGTGCACTAAAAAAAATCTGGACTTTTTGTCCTACAGTATGTAAATAGTTTACATGGCACACACATACATGATACTAGACCATTGCAAGAGCAAGCTTTTTAACACCAACTGGGAATCACAAGAAGCATGATTCCATTAGTTCTGATTTCCGAAAAGTCATCAGATACAATCCATCCACTTCCAAACATGCCTTTCCACTCTTATGGGCACAGACTAGTCTCTTCATACTTCAAAAATTAAAAGTGCAAACAGAAAATCTCAGATAGCTGGAACTGGTGCCTGATGGCACATTTTGGGCTTTTTTGTGTGCAATCCTATGGTATCTCAGTCAGGGGGAAAGCCCTGAGAAACATTTCACTGATGTTAGCAGAAATCGTCTTACACCATTTAAGACTTTATCTTTGTGTCCAGCTTTCCCCCAAAACCATCTCAGCCATTTGAAACAAAAGTGGAAAAAAGCAAGTGGGCCCTCAAAAAGTGCAATCCAACATGTACCTCCAGTAAGCAGAACACTCCCATACACTGAAGACAGATCCTGGATCCAACCTTTTTGGATTTGGTCCACATCTCAACTTAAAATAAAGTCTGGTGTTCAAAGAATCTCTGTATTTTTTTCCAGGTTGTTAGCCCTTCAACTCTAAAAGTTCTGAGCTGAAGCTCAGAGAATACAGGTCAAAAAACACATTTGCATAGATTAGTATCCATTGTTACCCCCTAGTTGGTATTCTCAAAAAGTTTACAAATTCTTGTGAAAACCTGTATCTTGGAGGAAAAAAAGCCAAAAACTGTTTCAGATTGCCCATACTGACAAAGAGGTCTAAATCCAGAGATGAAGATCCAGTCTCAAAAACCTACCCCAGATGCAGCAAAAATATATGCGACCCTTATCTCTTAGCCATCAGTAGTGGCCAAAGGGAGCTTCTCTCAGGAGAACAAAGCATGGGAAGATTCCAAGCCCAAGAAGCCAGAGTCGTTACACTCCTCTGAAAAACTCCCATCCTGGGAGGGCAACACCAGCACTAGAGCTGACGCACATTGTTCCCTGTCCCACTGCAGCCAATGGGAGGGACATTGTTCAAAAGAAGAAGAGGAAATAGGCCACTCCACCCTTCTTCTTGGTGGGAGCCCAGGAATGCTTCATCTAAGCCTTCTCTGCCTTCATAATTCACCCCAACCATCCCAGTACAATGACCCTATCTGATAATAAATGGGGAAAAAAACAACTGTTCTGGAATTTGAACTTTGCACAGTAACTCCACAAAAGTACAGAGAACTTAGAAACACCAGCGATGCACTCCCCATTGAGGAGCAATATAAAAGGGCTTTTCACTATGAATGGAGATCAGGCAGGGCCATTTGCTCGAGAGATCGCATCTCACACACCGTGAGCTGAACGTGGAGTGAGAGCAGCTGCTTTCCAAGTCAGTCACAGAGGTGTGGGAAAGGAAAACTGGGCTACAGGTATTAACACAGATGCACTTGAGTTCTCTGGGAAGAACTCCCAAGCTGCATAAGCATCTCTTTTATGCTTTACTTGGAATATAAATGGTGAGGCATAAAACCCCTCCCGCCAGCTAGACGGAGATTAGAAGGGCCAGCAGAGCCGAAAGGAATGCCGCATCGGGAACCAGCCCTCTGGAAAGGCTTCTCAGGAAGGCGCTAGGCTGTGGGAACAGCCTGCATTGAACGTCCATGGGTAAGAAGTAGCAAGTGAATTCTGCTTCCTTTACAAAAAGTCTAGACATATGGAGATCATAAGAGAAATGCTTTCACTGGTATACGTTGGCCAAGCGCCAGTCATCTTGGCCTTCAGCCCATGCTTTCAAAAGACGCCAGGTTTTCTACCCAAGAATGTTCTGTGGTTCTTACGTGGAGCTGCTTTCTTTGGCTTTGCAAAGCCTCCCCTTGAAATCCACTGGTTGAACTTCAGATTCCTGGGTCTAGTTTTTTGAGAGTAAATCTTTGCTGCTTGTGAGATTCTTGGAGGTCCTTTAAATACATGTTCCTTGTATTTTTGTTCCTAAATGCAAGCACAAAGGGAAACAGTTACTCAAGTGCAAGCACAGCCAAAAAGAACCTCTGGCCATCAGTAAAGAGATTTGCATAGATTGGGCCAAATCTTTCAGTACAGCAAAGATAGAATTCCACAAGTTTCTGCACATTATGATTTTATGCTATAAAATGTGCCTTGGTTGATCTGCAATCTTGAGATCTAAAAATCCATTTTTCTTTGTACACCCCTGATGAGATGCAGGCCGTAGACACAGAAGAGTTCTCTTGACTCAGTATAAGTTGGCTCTGTGTATCCTGATGCCATTGGTGCAAACATCGCCACCGCATAGACGTTAGCGACGTTGCCATTACCATACTTTATGGCTTTTGGGCGTAAGTGAAAGCTGAAATTAATTGGAAGGATTATTTCTGAAAGGCAGGAAATCCTCTCCAAGAACATGAGGAAAGGCAACGTCACCCAAGAAAGACTCGGTGGTTTTTGTTTTCTTCCTTACCATTTCCTTGGCTTTTGTTTTTAACTTTGCAAGTTCAAACTGTTCATCAGCTTCATAAGCTCTTAATTCATCTTCATAGGCTTTAGCTAAGAGCTAGAAAGCAAAGGAAAAGCTGGTCAACATTCACAACAAATTAACTGAAGTAAAGATTCATTATACAGATAGGCTGCTTTTCTGTTATGTCCACTTCGTGGCCCATTCACAAAAACTAAATAAAACCAACAAAGCAGCAATAAAAGCTGAAGAGCTTAATAGCTGAAGCAAAAAGACAAGATCAGATAATACTTTCAAAAGGTCTGAGGAAAAATTAAAGGAATCAGAAATTGTAAAAGGCATGGCTACCAAGAGTACAATAATTCATTGCTGAGACACCATGAAGTCCCCTCTCCTGTTTGCCACCCAACCCGCCTTGGCAAGTGATGCTGCCTGGGGAAAGGCCTTTCAAGAATTCTCCTGCAGGACAGACAGAGGCATGCAGGAGACATTGGATCTTCAAATGCCCAGCTCCCAAGCCACAGATTGCTTTGAAAATCAGCACCAAGACCCTGGATCGCACTCAAAACAAGCCTGGCAGCTAGAACTTCAAAACAAGTACTGTAGGTGGAAAATCCCAGCTAGTAGACAGTAGCTGCATTTTGGTCTGAATGATCTTTCCGAGAAGTCTCCAGGAATGGATCCACCATACAGTGCAAAGTATGAATGACTGTGACCAGGTTGCTTTGATCCTGGAGGAGATGCACCTGATGCATCAGCTTCTGGCAAATAAAAGAGGGCTATTCCATGGAAGCCAGCCGGGTCTCCTATGACAAAAGCAGACTCAAGGAAGATATCCAGATCAGTTTGTTGAGCAAAAGCAGTCTGGCTGGAAGGTCTCAAACCCTACATTCAATGTACAGTGGTGCCTCGCTTAACGATGTTAATTGGTTCCATAAAAAAATCATTATGTGAAAACATCGTTAAGTGAAACACCATTTCCCATAGGAATGCATTGAAAACTGGTTAATCCGTTCCAATTGGAACAGATTAGTGCTTGCAATCATTAGCCCACCTCCTGAAACCTATGCAAACTTAATTTGGTGTTGTTCTGAGTCGTCATTAATTTTTGGTGATTTTTTTCTCTCTCTCATTGAAAAGCATTGGACCGTCTGTCCAATGCTTTTCAATGAGAGAGAAAAAAATTCACCAAAAATTAACGAAGACTCAGAACAACACCAAATTAAGTTTGCATAGGTTTCAGGAGGTGGGCTAACGATTGCAAGCATTTAAAACAGGTTTCTAACAGTTTAAGACACTTTTACAGGAGCGAAAAAGGGACATCGTTAAGTGAAATTCCCCCACAGAGAACATCGTTAAACGATGGGGGAAATTCCTCAAAGAAACGCATCGCTGTGTGAATTTATCGTTGTATGAAGCAATCGTTGTGCGAGGCACCACTGTATTGCCTTTTTAGTTGATCTAATAAAAATATTACTCCAAATATAAGATTTTAGAATTTGGAAAAGAATTTTTAAGTTAAAGCATCGAAGTCACTTTTCTTAAAACGAAAGCCTGTTTAAGATATATTATTTAGCTGTTTATATAAGCAGAGGCTAAGTAACATCTAGTAAGCTTTTGAGTTCCAAAGTACTTTGCTCAAACCACATAACTAGTCTAAAAGAGACAAAGGTCAAAATCCTGTTCCGTAAAGTGTGCCTGCAGAAGTGTGATGCCTCTGGCAGAGGGAGCTTTTTGGTGATTAAAGACTTCTTCATTATATCCTGCAGCTTGTCTTGACAAATGAGTAATAAGTTGTATTGTGTGCAAACCATGAGAGCTGTGGGATGGAAGAAGGGAGTCTTTAATCACTGAAACAAAACACCACAAAACCCTACCTTCACATCTTCTATGGGAAAGCTGATGAAGTCCCCAAGCTTCTAGTGCAACAGGTCTATCTGCACAGCCCCTTCAGTTTTCAGAAAGCCTATGAATGGGCTTGCCCAGTAATGTTATCAGTCAGCTACATCATCTTGCTGCCATTACCTCTGCTCTCAGTTTCCTCTGGGCCTCTTCTCTTTGCAGGTGGTCCTGCATTTTTCCTGCTGGCCCTCTCATATCCCTCCAATGCACTCTGTCCAGCTGCCGGCTAGATGGAGGGGGCGAAGTAGAAAGGGAGCGCTGCCTACTGGGTAATCTCCTCAGGCGTGAAGTGGCTGTGAAAACAAACCAAGTGTTTCTAGTCACATTACCTGAATAGAGAGGCAGTTACAAGCATACAAAGAGGAGCAGATGCTCCTACAGCTAGCTACATGCGCAGCTACATGGTGTGGCAAAAATAAAAGAACTCCTGCTCTCAAAGCTTCTCCAACACAAATGCTCTGTCCCTTATTCCACATTGCAGCTTAGCACTTAGGTTCATTCCTTTGGGCCCCAAAACCCCTCACTTTCAGTTCTTAAATTAATGCAGTCCATAATACTGAGTATGAACACACGGCACCCATCACACAGGGATACAAACTGAAGTGTAGAATACACCTTGTTCTCACAGACGTTCTGACATGCATGCAAAAAGCAGCAAATAACTAGTAAATAATAAACACAATTCTTAGAATGGCTACCTGGTTCCGCTTTCACTTCCCGATAATCCATGACACTATCACTGTGCTGAGAAAGTTGATCCTCATCAGCCGACGACTTCTCCCTGGTTCGTTCACCCAAAGCACACTTTAACATCTGTGGTATATAAACAGAAGTGCTTTCTTCTGTCATAGGTCATTCCACAGCATCTCCAATATCGTAATCTAGTCCTTATTCATCAACCAAAAAGGGCCCCCAGAATAAACTGCACACAACAGATGACATGCAATGAGTAAAATCAAAACAGCCCCCAACCCTCAGCCTTTTAATATTGAGGCACAAGACCAGGAAGAAGTAATAGGAGGTGGAGGGAAGCTAGTCGCCCCTCAATAGGGATCCTGAAATGGTCCTGCTCCCCACCTCATTTCCCACCAACTGAACACAGAGTCCCTACCTCACATACATCATCATGAGCTTTCAAATCAATCCTTATACCTTTCTAGGGTTTTCTAGGTAGAGAATACACTGGGGTGGTTTTCCCTTCCCTTCCTCTGAGGCTGTCCTGGGACGGTGCAGCTGGCCCAAGGCCAGACAGCCTGGCTTCTCATATTTGCTCCAAACAGAGATATCCCTGTCTTGTAAGTTGTGCTCATTTACTTCAGGCATGGTCTACATACAAAACAGCATAGATGGTGGGATCATGATCATCCTCCTCCTAAAATCCATTTCAGACCAAAGGTGAAGGATTATTTAAAAAATATTCTCTCATGTGAGAGCTCCCTGCAATTAGAAGAACTAGTGTGTCAGAAGGAAAGGTTCTGATTTTTTCTTTGCTGCTCCATTTTGGAGAGAATTCACACAAATGGATACTCCAAAAATGATTCCACTGTCTGAAGTGGTAGGGCCTTTTCTACCACCTCAAGATCTCAGTGACTCTTTCCCATGTGTATTCTACTACTTGTGGAGTATGTATGTATGTATGTATGTATGTATGTATGTATGTATGTATGTATGTATGTATGTATGTATGTATGTATGTATGTATGTATGTATGTATGCATGCATGCATGCATGCATGCATGCATGCATTGATTGATTGATTGACTGACTGACTGACTGACTGACTGACTGACTGACTGACTGACTGATTGATTGCATTTATATGCTGCCCATCTAGACATAGTCTACTCTGGGTTGCTCACAACATACAAGATAAAAACAATTTAGAATACACATAATTTTACATAGATAAAAACAAAACGATATAAAATATAATATCGTAGATTTACAATTTTAACAAAATTAATGTAAGTATACTGCTGATTACTTTCCTTACATAATCTACTTCTCTTACACACCTGGCCAATGCTGACAAGCCTTTAGAATCAAGTCTATGATGATTAAGGTGTAGATTTTAAAAATCAGTAGTTTCCCCTAACTAGTTTCTAGATTGCCTGAAGAAACTTCCCAGAAACAGTGAAGTACAGCTTTGAGCTGTCCTACACCACTCACTCATTTCCCCCAATTGTTCGCTCTGGAAGAATATTACAATACATTAAGTGAAGACAGAAACAACAAGAGTGGATGATGCTTACTTACCCTATCGAGTTCATTCAGCCTGCGAGAAAGTTTCTCTGACATTCCATGCAGCTCCTGGCGAGACAGCGTTTCCTTTGCTCGTCTGCGGTGAAAAGGTTCTTCATCAAGGGAGTCTGTCAGGGTGCAGCTTTCATTCTGGCTGGAAAAACCCCAAGTTGTCAGGCTGTAAGTCCACTTTTCTATTTTATTTCTTTAAAGAGTTTCTATTCGCCACACCTTAGCCAAAAAGAATCCCACAGCTGTGCACAAAGGTCAGCAGTAAGACGTGTGTTCATTTCAGCCAGACTTTGGTCCTGTGTATCAAGGACTCAGCCTTTAGCATCCCAGTGAGAGTTCACGTAGGAGTCAAAATAATTTCACTAGTTGCCCTAAATCTTTGGCTTCATAACTGACACACCATTCCCTCAGAAGGGAAAACTCATGTTTCAATAATCAATGCCTAGTTTTTGCAACTAGTGCTTTTGATAAAATAACGGAAAAGGGCAGACCTATTATGACCCTCTAGCATCCCTAGTAAGTGGCTCTGAACCTTGGGTCCCCAAACGTAGCTGGACCGCAACTCCACTGGACACCAGTCAACCTGGTCGGTAGGCATGGAGGATGGAGTAACGGGAGTCTAAGGGCATCAAGGGGACTCCAAGTTGAGAATGTTATCAAATGTTAGTTGATGAGCGCATTGGAACAACTCCCAGAAGCTCTAAATAAAGCAAGCAAACTTCACCCGAGCACATGCAGTCTAGAAGAAGCACATACCTTTCTCCAGTGAGCCCATTCCTTTGTTTTGGCCTTGTGCTTTGTAAAGACGTGGACTTGGGCAGGACATCCAGATAACAAGGAGCTGGTGTGTACTGAATACTCTCATCCATTTCCTTTGAGAGAGGGAAGAAACGTCTCTCATTGGAGAAGGCAAGGATACAGTTAAAAAGAGCGGCAGGTGCTGAAATTCCCCAGTCCAATCAAAGGCTTCCAAATAGGATTGCTATGATATTAAAGCAGCTCAAGGCCTCAACAGCACTTCAAGTTACAGCATTTATTACAGTTGGACTCCCTTAGCCAAAAGATTAGTATCCACTGATTCACTTATCCATGGTCCATGCCCATTGACTGCGTCCGGCGCCGCAGGAGAGTGAGCGAGCAGCGCAGTACAGAAAGCCCAGGTGAAGGCCCTGCCCATATTCGGGGAGGGGGGTGTTATGGTATAATTAAGGTTAAAATGTGAATTATGAACAGGATATATAGTTATGGAAAGTTGTAGAAAGAATCCATATTGGTTCTGTGTTAGCATGATTTTGTGCCTTGAGAATGTTTTCGCCACGAGGTGAATGGAAAGTTCCATGTAAGCAGCCTTGTCCTGAGATGGTAAGGAGCCAAGACACGACACCCTTGTTTGGATCAAGACCCAAGACGAGGAGATGGGAAAACAACACCTGTACTTCTCATGGCAACTGGAGGCGTGGTGAGGGGAGACTGTCCTTTACGCCTATTGGTTAACATCTTGAAAAACGAAGGAGAAGGGCGGTGCCATTAAGGAAGAAAATGGAGGATGTGAACAGGAATAAAAAAAACTAGAGACTTGACTTCATTTTAGGTCTGAGAACTAGAATGAAGGATTGAGTTCCAGATGCTAGTTTTTAGTGTTTTGCTAAGATGTAGTTTAGAGAAAGAACAGAGGAAGGGGAGCTATGCCTTGCCTGCCTTCCAAGCAGCTTTTTAGGATTTTATTTCATTTTTGCTAGATGGAATTTGTTAAGATTCTTACTGCAATATCTTATGGAAATGTAACTTATGCTTCACTTATGCAACAAACTGAATATCTCTAAATACTTTATTTTTCTAATAAAACAATTATACTTAAAATCCTAAGTTTGGTCTCTTGAACAGCAAATCTGCTAAGCCTGCTTCCAGAATAATAGAAATGCCTAGCGGGGGGAGGGGGGAGGGCACAACATAAAATTTTAAAAAACCCTCACAGAATCGCCTTGCCAAAGGAGAAAAGCCCCCATTGGTGCCTGTGAAATTAAACAGAACGAGGTGGGCCCCCCACAGGTGTGTGCACACGCACCTACGCACACACAGACATAAACACACACGGTGGTCCGGCAACCTTCCTCTGAGGGCCCCCCTCAAAAAAAATGCACACTCAGCAGCAGCTACCCCCACCATGACAGAGGAGCAAAGTTTGCAAGGCGAGCCCAGGCAGCCTCCAGAGCCGAGGAGGCTGAACCAGGACGACGACGAGGAGGAAGCACCGCCGCGTGCTGAGGCGGTTGCTGGCCGGGCTGGTGCTGGGGATGCAGAGAGAGAAAGAGAGTCAGAGAGCCGCTTCCCTGGAAGAGGCGGGACGGGAGCAAGCTCCGCTCTTAGGCATCACGCAGTGGCAGCTCGGGCGCTCGCCAGCTCTCCCCCAAGACAGTCCCTCTTGCACCCTCCATCTGGAACTGCAACCTGCCAGCCAGCATGCCTGTCTGCTGGCTGGCAGGCTGCACTTCCGGATGGTCCAAGAGACCCTGTCTTGGGAGAGAGCCAGCAAGCGAGGCGAGCCTTTTTTTGACTCTTGACAGCAGAGGACACGTGGGCACTTTGGGGGGCAGGCAAGGCGGGGGCCACAAACTGTCATCTGGGGGGCCGCAAATGGCCCCGAGGCCGCATGTTTGAGACCCCTGCTCTAGGGGACATTGGTGTTGACAGGGGGAATTGGCATCCCCTGGGTAGCCCTCTGGAGGACACACCAGCCCGGAGGCTGCCTGCTGATTTGGGCACTCGAGGTCAAAAGGGTCAAAATGAGAGGGGTCTTATACATGGGGGCATCTTAAATATGGAAAAATATGGTAATACCTAGCATGGTCTCTTCTACTGGCCAGTTCTGGTACTGAAAACATTTGTTTCTGGTTTTTCCCCCTTTTACCATGCTATATACGCAGTGTTCACTATTATCCACAGTTTTGAGTATCCACAGGGGGCTTGAAACCTATCCCCATCAGATATGGGTGTCCTACTCTACTAGGATTGCCACCTAGAAAGATATTTTGTGTTCTGAGTGGCCAGCATCTGACAAACCATCTCTTTAAAAACCTAAGTGTTCAAAAAAAAAAAATCAGGAATGCAGTCTTTTCAAGCCTCACCATGAGTCACAAAGCCTTGAGACAGAGTAAGTTTTTAATTTGGAAATGATTTCCAAGTTCCTTTAAGGCAGGGAGAAGCTGCCATAACAAAGGCGGTGCACATCCTACAAACCAACACTGTGGTCATTTAAACTGTAAATCTGATGCAACAAAAACAAATTCTGAATTTCATGCTCTACAATAACTGTACAAACAGCACTTCCAGGCTTCTCCCTCCTCCAATGACTCCAGCTTTTCATCAAGGACATCCAGCAAATTCCTCTTTAAAACCCACATCTTCCAAAAAATGTTGGGAATCCTCATCTCCTCCACACACTAACTAAGCGACGGGGCACGCAAAGGAGCGAAACCCATTCTCCACCATTCCCATCAAAGCCTTTCCCCTCGTAGTCTTTTGTATGAATTCGAGATTGCAAGCTACTTGGGACAGAGAGACATTCTTCTATTTATTTTGTAAAGTACCAAAACAGTGATGCCCCAATAAGAACAACCGCCAGAACCTTACAGGAAATTTACACTGGAGTCAGTATAATTAACTAATTGCGGTGGTGAATTGCTGCTAATCCATTAGCTGCCCTCACATTCCTCATCAGGTGCCAGTCATGCAACTTGGTGCACGATAAAGAACCAGCAATACGTTCATTATCAGCAATTCACTGCCACGGTTTATGCAATCACACTTACGCTGACATAAATCCTCAAGAGAATTCTGACCAGTACATACATACCACAAGAACATTCTGATCTTGCATTCTATGAGATGGAAATCTTGGATTTTTAATTACATTCCAACAAATTTGTTTTATTTTAATGTTGGACATTACTAGGGGTGGAAAAGTAACCCAGTTACTATAAACAGAAATGTTTTTTATATAAGTACTCATGCACTCTACATGTTATGGATGATGAATAATCAGCTACCTTTCCTGCATCCACTTCATCATCTAGCACAATTTCATCAGCTACATCCTCTGCATCTACTTCTGATGTTTGCTCATCATCTCCAGCTGGATGTTCTGCCAGAAGAAACAATAAGAAATCAATACTGGAAATCAATTTCTGCATAGACATATACAAATACAAGCAACCCACAGGTTCAAGGGACTATATTTGTAAGTGGCAGCAAGTGATAAGCTCAAATTAGAAGATATTATTGTTATAACCTTACCACCTTCTGAAAACTGAAGACCTTTATAGCTTTTCTGCCAGGATTACCTCTCTTAGAACATTTTAGTTGTAAATTTAACCACAGTCTCATAGAAAGTATGTGTTTCGTGTATTCGCAAAGTATGTGTTTTCTTTGTCTCTTTCCTACCATCAGCTAACAAGCCATATTTTCTGGAACTGAGTCTCTGCAGCAATGCTGTCCTGCTAATGTGTATTCAGCACTTTATTTGCCAGGAACAGACTTAATCGGTTCGCAGAGCAAAAGGCAACTGATGGTTCACAAAAAAAGAAGTGCCCTTGTGGTCAGTAATATTGCACCCAATCTTTAACCTATGTTACATGGCTTCACGGTGCAATACACAAGTCTATTTATACATACAAGTGATCAATTTCAATGGGTCTGGTTTCCACGTGTAAAGGGTTAAAACCTTTACTTCCATCCCCCCCCCCAAGTGTCTTGAGAATGACAGAGCCAGGCAAAGGAAAGGAAGATCTGATAACAGTGGCCACAGCTTGATATAAAAATTCCAATTTCCAGGTTAGGACGTGAGAGGGCACTAAGCACATGTATCACGGACTGACACTTAGTGCAAGGTTGGTGGTGCTGTTAGACTCCAGCCCCCACTAGCCGTGCTTCAGCATTGATGGGATATGGAGTCCAACAACCTGGAGGACTACTGTTGTTACACCGCTGCTTTGGAACGACAGCGCTTATCATGGTACGTTAAAATCAGAACAAGAAAGATACTGTACAGTCAAGCCCACAAGCCAATACTTTTTACAAGCACTGGATTTTCAAATATCTACACTCCCAACCCTCCTACCCAAGAATGAAGGCAGCACATCAGAACACTAGTATTGAAAACACATTAAAATATATTTCAATATGAATCAAAAACATTTTCTTACCAGATGTGGTTCTTGATGGAGAAACAGCACCTGGAAGGGGTGCAGACTCTTGCTCAGGGGGTTCTGCAAACTGCAAGAAAGTTCAAAATCCGTGTCTTAAAAAATAACTGTGACATATAGATAAAAATCATTCAAATCAAAGGAGTTCCCGCAGTGATCCATTAATTAAATACCACTCTAAATATCACAATATTTTGAATTTATTTTTCAAAGACACAAAGGCTCAAACCTTCTTGACAGACTCGCATGGTTCTAAATGTTGATTACCTCACCAGTCATAAGTATTAATCTTCCATTTACATCTTCCTATTCCCTCCTCTCAGGTTCTGCGGCTCTGGGGATCCCCTTTCAACCTAGGGAAGCATTTAGGAGTCAGGGGTGGAGTGAGCCTTAATGTACAAAAATATCTGCTGCTTGCTCCACTGGTGGGACCACTGGTGGTGATTTTCGGATAGTAAAAGCTCCCTCCCAAAGGCTTCCCCAGGTCAAAAGAGATCTCTAGAGACCCTCAGCACCTCTTAATGTCTGCAGCTGATGACATAATCAGCATTTATGACTGCGGAGCTGTGTAGCAGGATTACATTGCTATCTATTTCAATTTATTTGATACAAGTTCCTCCATTTCTCATCTTAACAAACTGCAATTATCCGTAATATGCTCTGATTCAAACAAACGTACATACATATATTTCTGGACTGATATATTACAGTTCTCATGATAACCTTGTTCATCCATTTCCTTGAACGGGTACACTAAACCAGCAGAATTCTACAGTGCCACAAAGCAGGCGCTGGCAATACTGAAAGAAACGTGAGAAGGTTTCGCACTTACATCACAGGAAGCAAGACTTTGTGGCTTAGCTGGTGGGGGTAGTGAACCTTTGGGCGAGCTTCCACTGCCTCTGTCAGCTGGGTACAGGGACCGAGGCACAGAAGGCTGGTACGGTGGCTGCAAAAGAATTGCTGGACGAATTGGTTCTCCAAGCTTTTTCGCACTGGAACTCAACTGTTCTCTAGGCAACTCAGCAGATTTTGCCATTCCTTAAAGGGAAATAGTCGAAATTCACTTTAGTCACACAGCTAAACAATATTCTTTGGAAACACTGGATTTGTCATAGAAACAAGCAAATCATGTACAGGATTAGGAAGTGCTGATTAAAGGATTTCAGAAAATGTTGCATACATCCAGTTTCCTTTAAGATTTACCAGAGTACTTAAAGATTTTATTTAATCAGAAAAATAAACAGCTATGAGTTGCAGAGTAATTTTTAAAAAGGTAAGCTTCCTGCCTGCTCCTGGATCACTAAATAAAGGTCAAACCTGGGTAGTGGAACGTGTAACAACTAAATTCATTATTAAATTATTTCAAAGCCAGAAAACAGATCAAGGGTCAAATGGCACATTGCACAAAATCCTGTTGCACAAATTGTGCCTGTGGAAGGGTGATTATGTCACCAGCAGGGGGAGATTTTTGGTCACTGAAACTCCATCTTTCCATCTCATGGTTCCCACACAATAAAAAAAAAAGATTACATAGAATTCAGAAAAGCTGCAGGATTTTGGCCACTACTGTCATTATAAACTTAAATTCCATTAGTGATCATGATTCCAGCATGACTTAATGACTGAGCAATCAGACTTGCAAACAAAGTCTGTATTTACCTCTCAATGACCAATCACAATACAAGGCAAGCAAATTCGCAAACTACAGAGGGTTAAAAAAAACAGTGGCGACAATTCTGTTTTCATTTCTTAAAGAATTCCCTTTTCCAATGACATGCAATCAATTTTACTCGAAGATTTTTTTTTTTTGAGGAAACACACTCACCTTCAGTTTTTGTAACATGAACCCTTCTCTTGCTGGAAAGTATATTAGATGGTGCTCTAAAAGCTTCAAGGTCTTCAGATTCAATGGTTCTCTTTGATATTTCTCTTTCTGCTGTTAATTCTTTGAGAAGTTAATACTGTATTAGCAGCCTCTGAATACGAATGTTGATTCATGCAGTCGTATAACTCATGGGAGGCCTCCTAGGAGGCCAAAGTAGTGCAGAAAGAAAGACCTCCCTCTCTGCCCATGACCCATAAAGAAGGTCTGTCTGTGGCCCTCTTCCCCGAGTTCTACCAAGGCTTCTGTGCTGGTGTGGCTTCACCAGCTGCCTTCCACTGGCAGGCTGGAGCCATTCACCTTGGGAGGGGGGGCAAGGGCAGACAAGATGATTTACTGGGTCCAGCCCCCCCCCTCAATTCCCTGGCCATACCCCAGAGTGCAAAGAAATCCATGCCAGCCCCTGAGCTGGCATAATGAATTATTCTCTTTTGGAGACCAAATTTTCAAAATAAAAAGAAAACGAGGAGGAAACCCCAGCTTCAATTCTCCTTCATTCATGGCAGTTATGACCCTTGCCTGGGTTTGGACTTGGCAAGTCTAACCAATCTTAAGAGGCAAGGGTAGGAGAATCTGTTCTATTCTATTGTCTTGGGGCAACTCTTAACTGGGAATATTTGAACGGTGCTCTTCTTCCTCTGCGTTGAACCAATATATGAAATAAACTGGTCTATACAGAATCTGAAAGTAGTTCTCAATGACCACCCAATCTGTCCTCAGAAAGAATGGGAACATTTTGCCTCGGCAGTCACAGAGAGACCTTGTTGGAAGAAACATTTGGCTCATGCTTTACTTTCTCCTCCTGGGGAAGAACATCTGAGACTCATACTAAATTAAAGAGTTCTTCCAGCTACATAGAGATGAAACAAGACTAGTACTAAACTTTGCATTTTTTGGACTTGTAATGAATTACATATCTCAGTTTCATATTACAGGCCAAGCCTATTGTTGCTTTCATGTGTGTGATAACAAGATGACCTGTTAGCTTGTACAGTGGAGAGAGAGTCATCAAGTTGCAGAATCCTGTTTTCACCACGTTAGTACTTGGGGAACTCTTGTTTCCTTATTGACACTCGATTTATCCTGCCCCCGATTATAATCCATTCCGATGTTTTGGCATGTCTGACCTTACAAATGTTTTAATACAGGAGAGAATGTGATGATGAAAGAGATTTCATAAGTGCCTTCTGTCTGTTCATCAAGAGTCAGTGGGGGACGGGAGCTGGCAGAGAAAATGGGATATTGCTCAGTCCCTGTGGTACGTAACTAGTTCATGACAGTCATTTTCTCTGTTGTAAAATCCCTCTCGCATTCGCTATTTGATTTGATCACTCACATCTGGTGGTTGTGTTTCACCAGTTCTACTCACCTTCATTTCTTAGAGAAAACAAATAAGCTGTGTCCCCCAGCTTAATCAGCTCACTTGTAGATTCTGAACATTCTGCCTCCTCGGAGGGTGCGAATATCTCCGATGACTCAGATGATCTGAACAGAACACAGTGATGTAAATTTGTTTACTTGTGTTGGCCACAAGATGGAGCCATCAGATGAAAGGCACACAATCCAAGCAGCACCCAGAATTCCAAGAACATCTTTAACAAGAGAGCTGCGCCATGATCTTAACCATAAAAAAGCTTCCCGTCCTTATGAGACCACCTGTATTACACACGCAAGCCTCTACACACTTAGTTGGAAAGGGAGCCATCCAAGGTTCAGGCTGTCCATCATGAATATATTGCATGGATTTTTATTTATTTTTAGTTGCATAACAAACTCCAGGTTCAAGGTACTATTGGTGGCAGAAGAAGCCACCAGGTTCCAGAAAAGCTGTGGAACTTGTGAAGCATGATTACTCTGGCTGGGTGAGAGAGAGCATGCGCCTAACCTGGAAGTGTTCCTCTATTTGGGATTGTCAGGGGAGGCACAGGTGACAAATGGGCAGGAGTATGTGTTATTTTTCTGGCCTCTACACCAGTTAGATCTGGCCCTGGTAATCATGCTCTGGTTACTTCTCATTGAACTATTACAACACTAGACAAGGGTTCTTTTCAAAGACAGCCTAGAAGTAACAGCCAGTTCAAAATGTGGCTGTGGGAGGAGAGAGGATCAGAATATTTTAATTGTATTTTAATTCTTTTAAGCTGCCCAGAGACCTTTGGGTAGTGTGGGCGGCATATAAGTTAAATAAATAAGATATAACTCCACAAAACAAAAATAAAAGACCTGCTGTCGATGCTACCAGTTTGCTTCAATTTAAAAAAATCTAAATGATAAGTCTTCCTCTTTAAATGGCTGTAGCCAGAACTACCTTCACATATATAATTTTGCCCAAAGGAGGACGCTTTCAACAGAGGACACTGCACCTTTCTTATTTAAATCTCACAACAAAAAAGTATGCATTTTTGTTCTTGTTTTATGTTTAATGGTCTTTTAATGTTACTATTTTCATTGCACTTTTAATATTTCAGTTTATATACCTGATGAACTGGGAGAAAAGTAGGATATTAAATAAATACATAAATACTGCACTGAAGATACTGAAAACTTGATGGCTATGAACCAGCCTTACCCCATAGCTGATGGACGTTTAAGGGAAGGAACAGGTAGATCCTGATCATCTTCTTGCTCTTCTATATGACCACTTTGGGCTTCATCTTTAGCCATCTGATTGTGATCGTCTGTTTTATAAGCAACATTATTATGACCGAAGAGATAGACAGACCTTGCCTGCCACAAAGATGAAAACTACATATTGCCTCCCGCCTCTAGACTGCTGTGTGGTTGCTTCACATTGTGCTGACACAGCAGCTTCTATGATCCCATCAACTATTGATGCAAGGAGTGCTGGCTGTTATCTAGACTAATTCAGAATAACCAGCCTCTCTACCAGGCACTTCATACGTTTATGTCTGACAGAAAACACTCGGTCCCAGGTTACACCACCTAGAAATGAACATCTCCTTACGAAACCCAACTTTTTGTTGTTGTTTACTATTTTATTAAAAGAAAATAACAAATAACAAAACTAACATAAGGTACATGTTCATACACAATACAAATTAAACCTTCCCCACCTGTGCCACCTTCACCCTCGGGACTAGGTAACCAAAGGTATCATTTTAGAACTTTTCATCCCACTCCACTCCAAAAATATATTGATTCTTAAACCCAATTCTTTGTCAAAGTGTTTAGGATATTTTTCCTATGACAGTCAGGAGATTTATGCGTTATGCTTCCACTAAAAATGAATGGCTGAAATAAAGTGATGTCCCATTTCCTCAACATTGTCAGAAACAGTAGCATGCTTGTTGTAAGCATGAGAACTATGAAAACCCATGGATTGTTCCATGGGACCTCCAGGTAGGCCGACTAAAACCCTGGAGAGCTGCTGTTAGTCAGCCTACCTACACAATATTAGGCTAGATCCAACAAAGGGCTCACTATGTTTCCATGCAATAGTGAGAGAAAATTAAATTTCAGGTTTAGCGACAACCAGTTATGCCCTTGCATCAGTTTCTGAAAAGCTGGGAGAATGTTTAAATTCCACTGAAACCCCCTCTGTTGCCAGAATACAGGCTACCTGGGGCACATTCAAACCATTCTACAACAATAGCACTGGCTACCTACAAGCTTCCCCTGCATGTAGATTCCCAAAATGCATATCTTGGGAATCCCCTCTGTTCATAAACATCTATCCATCCTTCTGATTTCGACATGGCATGCTTCAGAAATGCATATTTTGGGAATCCCCTCTGCTCATAAACATCTATCCATCCTTCTGATTTCCATAGAGATTCTTAGTTTCTTCTAGTGTGGCTTGGTTCTGCCTTAGGATCCTCTGCCCAGCAACGCTTGCTGGGACCAAAATGAATAGACATTTTTTAAAAAACTGCAAAATAAGCTATACATATTTCACATAGATGTAACTGTATCTTAAGGAAACACTAGGTAGGTTGCTGAGGTACGTATGCTATATGGATGCAAGGATTACACCAAATGGCATGCCAGACCTCTACTGTCTACTCAACCTTTAGCAATGCTGTTTAGCCCAGATCAGCCTGCTCTAATTGAGCCCTTGTAGACAATCCCAAAGTGTCTGAAATGTACATTGAACAGCATCAAACTACATTTATAGACTGGACAGGTAAAATCACAGATCCAGCATTTGTCAAAATCACCATGCATATAATCATACTTCCAAAGCATGTATCCTGATGGGTTTTCATGCTTTTTACACTGGATACAAAGAAAACCAATGTGAACTACTCAACCTTTAGCAATGCTGTTCATCCCAGATCAGCCTGCTCCAATTGAACCCTTGTAGACAATCACAAAGTGTCTAAAATGTACATTGAACAGCATCAAACTACATTTATAGACTGGACAGGTAAAATCACAGATCCAGCATTTGTCAAAATCACCATGCATATAATCATACTTCCAAAGCATGTATCCTGATGGGTTTTCATGCTTTTTACACTGGATACGAAGAAAACCAATGTGAAATCATATAACACCCATCATTTGATGCAGATTGGTGGGCAGAATGCTCTTGGGATTGCTTCTTTCTCTCTGCCACCTGTCTTTGGAATGTCATTTTGCCTATACTTCCTCTCCCTTGTCACCATCACCCTACTTGCTGCATTCTCTCTGCCCCCCCCAAAGTCAACCTGTTTTCCCTCTCTCAAGATGAGCCCCAGGTATTCCAGGGAGCTGAAGATAGTAGCTGGTGAGCAACACTTTGCTTTGCAGAGGGCTTGTGGGTGCGTTGTCACACCCTTCAAGAAAAGAGAGCTAGATCTTAATGAGGGAAGGAGAGAAATCTGACATAGGACCGACTGTTTCAGTTAAAGTCCAATGTTCTCCATTACAAGCAGTTCTAGCCTGGCTGTGTTTTCATTTTAGTTTGCACTGATACACTGGCAAAATAAATGTCCTTTTAACACCTCCCCCCTGCCCCAAACACTCCCATGACAGAAAAATTACAAGCATATCCAAGGCAATAGAACATTCTATATACATAGAAGGTGTGCAAGCCGTTTACTGCATGATTTCTCTCACCACCATTCTGAGATGCAGCCTCGCTAATTTCTTCAGTAAGGTATTCAAGCAAGCCATCAAATATTTCCAAGAGATTTCTAATGGACTCCTTGTCACCCTTCACAATGTTCTCTCCTTAAAGAGAAATCTCTGTTAAACTTTTACAAGAGAAGGAAAAGACGTTTCCTTTATGCTTTTTCCTGTAGGGATCATGATGAACAGAGCTCAAGTTATAAGCATACATCCAAAACCTTGTTTAAATAAGCGATCTGGACAGATGCAACTGTTCTTTTCAAGCATTAATTATATTATGTAGTTCAACCCTCCCCAAAAAGGGACCTTCCAGACAATTTGGACAAGAATTTGCATGCACAAAACCCACCAGCAAGTCTGCCAACCCTGTTAGCTGTGTGAGGAGAGAACTGTAGTTCTGTCCATCTGGAAGGTACCGAGGTTACGTTGGCTCAAAAAAGGAAACTAAGAAGGGGTGGATTGGGGGAAACAAGGCCATTTCTTTTTTCTTTTTTTCCTCTGCACTGATTTTTTAAATTTGGAGACAAGTTGGGAACATTTGGAGGCTATTATTATTATTATTATGGTTATTGTTATTGTTATTGTTGTTATTGTTATTATTATTATTAATTTGATTTATACCCCGCCTATCTGGACCGATGGACCACTCTAGGCGGCTCTCTGTGGAGCACACTTCAGAAAGGAAAAGTCACATTTCTGAGGGCAGTAATCATGACACTGGATCACAACACTTAAATGGCAGGAAAGGACAGGCACTAGTCACATTTCGGAGGGCAGTAACCATGACACTGGATCACAACACTTAAATGGCAGGAAAGGACAGGCACTTTGCAACTGAAAGCTTTCAAATGTCTTGAGCAGAACTCAAGCATCCATTTCTGTAGGCTCAACAGGAGACACACTTTGCGACTGAAAGCTTTCAAATGTCTGGAGCAGAACTCCATTTCACTTGCGGCTGCAGCATCCATTTCTGTAGGCTCAACAGGAGACTGACTTGCCTCTCCCTGCCTGGGTATATCTGCTTAGCTAGGAGGAAAAGAACTTTCAAATGTCTTGAGCAGAACTCAAGCATCCATTTCTGTAGGCTCAACAGGAGACTGACTTGCCTGGGTATTATCTGCTTAGCTAGGAGGAAAAGAACTGCATCTAAGATACATGTAAAAGTCCCTCCCCATTGTGCTAAAGGTAACCACCTCACAGAAATTCCTCTATATAAGAGTGAGATTTCTCTTTGCCCTTCTGGAAGGGAGTAACAGGAAAGAGATACAGCTGGTGCCAAGTTCTGGCTGTTTGCTCTCATAAGAAAATCATACTGTGTCCCATGGGCTTGTTCCCAAACAAGAATAAGATTGCAGTATTCAAAAACCTGGCACTAAGAGGGGTGATTACACAGGCATTTAGCCCGCTGTTTGGTCTGCTCCGGGGATGGGGTGCCAATGATGAGACAATGTAATAGAGCAAACCAGTCCATCCTGCATCTTTCTGAGTTCCTGTCCTGTTTTGTTTTTTTGAGATGCAGGCAGGATTGCTCCATTTTGATTCATTTCTAGCACATAAGATTGCTGGGACTGAACCAAAGAACTTCTTGCTTTAATTCTCCAGCTAGTTTCAGTTTCCCAATATTATTGGTGACTTAAACAGACAACTTAGCCACTTAATGCTATTAGGAAATTGGGAGATTAAAAACTTTCCTCCTCTTCTCTTCTGTGGAGGGCAGGGGGGGGAGAGCAAGGTTTCTTTTTTAAAGCCAATTAGGGCAGTGTTGATGTGCTGTATCTTTCAGAAATAAAATTTAAAAACTGAAAGCTTCTTCCCAAAAGCAGGAAGAGATAGGAGGCTCCCTTTTCTTCAGGGAGTAAGAAATAAAGTCACTTGAGATGCATATGCCATACAGATGCAAGGATTGTACTATATGGCATACCAAATCTGTACCTGACCAAAAGTGACTCTATTCACCCTGTATCAACTTTTTCCAGATCAGCTGTCCAGCTGAGCCCTACGTTCACCAAGTTGCAGATTCAGCTTTATATACACACCAGTGCGAAATAAATTCTTGCTGACCTCAAACAACCATTCACATATCTTTTTCCTTATTCTTAATGGCAACTATCTACTTCACTGGGTCTCAAGAATATTCTATACATTCTTCCAATAAATTGTTGTCTATACCCACCCGTTATATGTGATAAGCTGACCTGCAAGTAGTCCAAAGCCAAAGAATCTATTATTGCCTGTACATTATGTGCATCATCTTCTTGGCAACTAGGTATGGCGATGAGATCTATAAAATAATGGGAATGCATCATTCTGTTATAGCACCATATCATTACTGTGCAGAATATTACAAAGCATCAGCTGAAGAAACAACCTACTTCTTGTATAATCTGAGAAAAGATCTGTGCACAGATATTTTCCATATGTGAGCCTGTAGAAGCACATTTACCAGTGGATTAATACAGGAATGTACTGAATTATCACACACAATGGCCAGAATCTTCTTGCTTATATTCCCTAGCATAAGTGCAGTGACATAAATCACATTGACAAGTTGTGCAATTAAGTAGTCATCACATATTCCTTACCATATACTAGCTGCATGACTTGGTGTCCAATGAGGTATATAAGCAATGACTTCTTAACTGATAGCAGTCTGCCACAGTGATTTATGCCAATGAATGTAAATAGCAGGATTTTAGCTCAAGAAGTAAAAGAAATACCTGAGCTAAATATACATACTCACTTCCCAGTACTGTTGTGATTACACTTCCAAGTAATAGACTAATTCTATCAGAAATCATGGTGTTAACTAAGCAGATCCAAAATAAACAGCTATGCCCACCTTGCAGTTTTATCCGGCCCATTCCCTCCAGCCTGTGCATGGGCATCTGGGCATGCGTGCATCCATATGGGTGGGCAGACATCCGTGTGGGCAGGGGTGTGGGTAAGGGGGTGGGTGGGCAGACACATTTGTTCCTTTGGCCCTCAAGAATGTGAAAAATATACAATGTGGCCCTCAAGCTCAAAAGGAGACCCCTGGTCTAAAGTAAACCCACTATTTTCAGTGGGACTTATTCCCAGGTATACACATTTCACACAGCCGCCTGCAGTAGCCAGTCAGCTCAGAGATATTGTTCCCCTGAAAGTGGTTTATAAGTTCTAGACTTTTGGGGGGTACAGGGAAGGAAGAGTGGAAGTAGGGGTAAGTACTAAGAGGAAGAATAGAGGTAGACATTCAAGATGAATATCTAAAGGTGGTCTTTAGATATGTTGACCACTTATGCCTGTTGGAATTCACTATCACTATATATTAGAAGTATGCATATACAGTAGATGCCTACCTAACACTGCTCTAAAAAGATAAGACAGCATTCTTACCTGGAACAGTTTCACCCAGTATTGCCTGATAAAGATGAATAAAGACTTCAGCCCCACAGTCAGAAAGATGGTTCAAATGCAGATGTAGATTACATTTCGCCAGAAGATCATTGGCAATATTGACCCATTCTGGATTAAATAAAGAGATATACAATATACCATATTTACAAAAAGAGGCATCTAGAACACTCTGTCAACAGGTCCAGCAAGACTCTACATACTTTCGATCCACATTAACAATAATTATCTGTAGTATTTTCTGGCTAAACTAGGACCAATCAATGACATTGGTTATACAGCAATCTCTAACAAGCATATTGGCAGCTAATTTCTTTATAAGTATTTCCGTAGCCCATCATGCACCAACATTATTGGGGTTGGCAGGGGAAAATAGTATTTAGGTATAAAAATGCTTGTACTAATATCAAGCTTAGTGATATTAAATATCCCAAATGTGATATATATACTTGTCTTTCAGAACCTAATACGTAGCCTCCACTAAAAATGTTTATAAAACACTACAGTAGTTTTCAATTTGATATGCAAGTCAGATAGGCATAGTTACTGGATGGAAAAGATAAAATTAACTGCACTTCAGAGATTATTTAGGAAGAGGTTTGTGGCACTAAGTATCAAGTTTAATATCCAGAAGTTTCTTGTTCCAGTGTTTATGGGAATTACTTAAAGAAAAAGCCAACTTGAAGCTGAAATTTTCAGTCGGATGTATCTGAAAGTACATTTTTAAATGGCTTTTATTTCACCACTGTGTTGCCTATGTGACTCTACATAAGCCTTTTGGGTAAGAACACTATAACCTTTATAGTTATAACACTATAAGGGGATGTGGTGGTGCTGTGGGTTAAACTGCAGAAGCCTCTGTGCTGCAAGGTGAGAATCCACACGTTGTAAGATCGGATCTATGCGACGGAGTGAGCACCCGTCCCTTGTCCCTCACATGTTGTAAGATTGAATCTATGTGACGGAGTGAGCACCCGTCCCTTGTCCCAGCTCCTGTCAACCTAGCAGTTTGAAAGCACGTAAAAATGCAAGTAGATAAATAGGTACCACCACGGTGGGAAGGTAACGGCATTCCATGTCTAGCCACGTGACCATGGAAACTGTCTTCGGACAAATGCTGGCTCTATGGCTTGGAGACAGGGATGAACACCGTACCCTAGTGTCGGACATGACTGGACTAAATGTCAAGGGGAACCTTTACCTTACTATAACCTCATTTACACCACATAGCACCTACAGTGTGCTATATCAAAAGAAGATGAAAACACATTTGATAAATGACAAGCATTGGAATACCAGTACAAATGCTTTCATTTACTTGTTACTATTAACTATACTGTATAACTATATTACTATTAACTATATTAACCTCAAAGCTATTTTAACAATATATAACCATTTTTGTATACAGTACTTTGTAGGCAAAAACTGGCAAGCTACAAATCACTTCTAATCCCCTCTGTACCAACAAGCTCTCATTAAATGCTGTTTGAAAATTTGCTGTGCATTAAATAAACAAAACCTTAAACGTTATGAGGTAGTTATTGGACAGCATGTTGCAGATTTTGCCTTCTGTCTGGCATAATTCAAGTCTGCAGAAGAATATCCCAGCAAAAGACACCACAGTGGAATGCTAACTATTACCTCACAGTAGTGCCAAGTGCAGAAGCCAAGAAAAAACCTCAAAAAATATTATACTTTCAGTTTTCTAAGAACAGGAGTGCTTTACAGTAGAATCCTAAGTCGGTCTACTCAAAAGTGATCCCAACTGAGCTGAAAAAGGCACATTTTCCATTAAGAGAACACAGGACTACAGTCTATGTGCAGCTACAGCCTCATGAGTTTGCAATAACAAATAAACACGACAACCTTTCCAGATGGGCACTTGCAGCTAAAATAAGAAATCAGTTATATTTCTGAAGGAGATAATGTTATCCATATATATATATAAAATAATAACTGTTGGATAGTTCAGTGGTTCAGGTTTCTGGCTGTGGAGTCAGAGGTTGGGAGTTTAATTCCCCTGTGCCTCCAGTTCTGCAGTTCCACAATGCTGTTTATAAAGGGAAAATATGTTTTCACATATATTGACACAACATAAAAAGTTAAACCAACAAAGAAAGAAGCTTGGAACTCAGTTATCCGAAGAAAGTTAGAAGATTTTAGGTTGCAACAAAATGCAAAACACACTGAACTACTGAGTAAAATAAACAAACAAGAATGACTGATTATATGAACAACATTCCCAAAGCAAGGCATGTAACTGATTACTGTACAAGGGAGAATGACAAATACTTGCCTTAGCAGTACAAAGCTTGTCATTGGGTGGTGTTTCAACAATCACACAAGGAAAGAACAGGACTTCATGTTTATTATCGCAACAGTTTCAACTGCCATAGCTTTTAACTGTAAGGCAACAGAGAGGACCAAATTCCTCTCTAGAGTACCTTTGCCAGCTGTGCAATCAGTCAAAAAACGGTAGGAACTTTTTAAAAATTATACACCAGGAGCAAGAGTAGCAAAAAACCATGGCAGAATGGTATCTTAACAAGTTACTATGTACCACAAGCTTCCAGACATCAGACCTCCTGACCTAAGTTCAAGTCCATAACACACATTAGTGTCACAATGAACCTGTTGGAGCTTCAATATTCTGAACTAGAGAAGATCTTCTGAAAACACGGAAAGAACCTGTTAATCCAGCACTAGCAGAAAACCCAAATCATTTATTTCACCTTTCTATTCTGACCCTGTTGTTTTTACGGTGCTACACGATCCTGTGTTGGGTTTGCCACCACGGAGCCATGCCACGCAGCAATGCCCATTTTTCAGCTGGCCCTGCCCGTTGTCGCACAGTTTATAAAACCAGAAGCACGAACACGCGCGTTAAGCCATTTTTTAAGACGTTGGCTCTTTTAAGGGGCTGAAAAGATATGGCGCTGGCTTTTACTGCAACAGATTGAACGCGACCACTGGAAGATGGGAGACCCACAGAACGGGAATGAGCGCAGCCTCTCCAGGCTCGGGGTGGGATGGGGGAGCGAAACAGGCGCCCTGCTCCCACACCGGGGAGACACCCATGCCCGCCCCATGGGCAAGATACGGGCAGAGGGGCCGTGAAAACAGGAGCAAGGATCCTCGCCCCCCTGGGCCCCTCCAATCCCTTCCTCCTTCCCCCTCCCCAGCCCTGCCCACCTCTCTCCTCAGGGCTGCCCATTGTACGAGGACGAGCCAGGCCTCCTTCCGCAACGGCGGCGGCGGCAGCGGCAGCAGCGGCGACACCACTTTCGTGAAGTTCCTGCCACTGCTCCCACCCAGGAGATTTAAACATTTGGCCGCGGCACGGCCCTGGGCGCGGCGATTGGCCGGCCGGGAGCGGAAAGGGCGGGACTTCCTGTGACGCTCTTCAGGGATTCGTAATGGGTCTCTTTTTCATCCTGATCTAGTTCCGGCTCGATGAGGTCCGATAGCTGTTATGCGGTTGTTTGTATTCAGCCCCCCAACCGGTTGCCGGGACAACCGAGCGGCGGAAATGTATGGTCTGGGTTTCTGACAAAGGCCAAAAAAAAAAAAAAAAAAGCAGCCCGCGCTTAGCTCACCTCGTTGGGCGGGAGCTCAGCCCTCGTTTGTCAGACTTCGTGACGAGCTATTTAGGTTAAAAATACAATATTTTTTTTAAAAAAATAACAAATGAGAAAGACAAAAAGCATGGTGGCACAAACGCGGTTACCTCTTCTACAACGCCAAGTTATATTTATTTTGACTTGTTTAATAGTTTTTTTTTTATTTTTATCCTGTCCTTTTCCGGGGGCCGTAGGGTGGCCTGTAAGCCTTCCCCCTCCATTCCCCACCCCGCCGTTTGACTCGCACAACAGCCTTGTGATGTAGGCTAAACTCGGGAGTAGAACCAGGTCACCCAGTTAAGCGTCCGCCCTGGCTGGGGGCCAAACGAGACGTGTAATAAGCAAGCCACGTATGGAAGGTCGTAGTCACGTGTCAAGAGCCTCGACGGAGCCGCCAGGGATTTTAGAAACAGGAGAGCCTTTGTCGGCCTCGGAAGTCGAGCGTCTGACGAAGACGGAGCCCGTCCAAACCGCACAGCTCGCTCTCCCTCCTCGGAAATTAATATGGAGCTAAAATGGCTTCCTTTCAAGATGGAAAATATTGTTCTACGGCAACCTCAAGAGCTTCCGCAGTTCCTCTGATTAGCCTTGGAAAAATTGGAGAATTTAGGAAGAAAGGGAAACTGAGCATTTATTGTGGAGCATTTTTTTTGTGGAGTACTGTATGCTGTGCGAGCGTTTTTATTCATTTAAAAGAATAGATGTAAACGAGCAATGCATAATAAAAATTACCTCTGTGGCTAGAATGCCCGGCTTTCCTGTTTAGTAGCCATGCTGCTGGGAGGATTTTGGAAGCTGGAATTTAGAAAAGCAACGTTGGCAAAGATGGGCAAAAGAGGATCGCAAGATGGCTGAATATCCTAGGTTAGCAACTTGTAGCTTTCCTGGTGTTTTGGAGCCACAGCTCTCACCAGTTCTGCCAACATGGACAGAATGAGGAACAAGGGTAGTAATCCAACATCCCGTACCCCAGTGAATTCCTTAGTCCTCTGCTACATTTTTTCCTTTGGAATGGAAATGTGGCTTACATTTAGACTACCACACACAATCCATAGGACCATTAGTAATGCTATATACTTGATGACCCTCCTATCTTTTATAGGGATGAAATATCTGTGTTTATGAGTTAGTTTATAATACAAGTCATTTTGTTATCCCTGAAGGTGGGTGCATCTTCAGTGATTTGTTATGCTGCTGCAAGTTATTTTTGGGGTTCTAGTACCGCAGTAGATACTGTAATCCTCATCTAGAATAGTGTGCTGTTGTTTCCCATCCTGATTTTTTATACTGTACTTCCTTAGTATCTGCTGTACCACCACCACTACCCCACACACAATATTACTGGTGCTGCCTGTATCCCTGTTGTGATTTAATGACTTGTAACAGGTTACCACTTAAAATCAATATAAAATTACCAGGATTACAGCTATTTTTTTCTTTACTTCTTTTCCAGCTGACAGTATGTGAGGGGACAAAAGTGTTGATTTATTGTGTGGGTAACTTGCTATTATTGCTGAAATCTCACTTTACAGATCGATTTTATACCAGCTAAATAAGGCTGGGCATGTTTAAGCAGAAAATTAATAAAATTACTAATGGTAATGCTTCCTTCTTATCATCATGGAAGGAATGCAGGAATATTATGGGATTGCTGTTAATGACCTATGTAGTCAGATTTTTTGGAAGATACTGTACTCATTTTGGTTTAATAGTAACAATATTTTATTTATTTATTTATTTGATTTATATCCCACCCATCTGGTCTGGTCGACCACTCTGGGCGGCTTCTAATAAAAATATATACAGTAAAACATAAGATTATTACACATAGAAGTCTGCATTCAATCAGAACACATACAATAATAGAACAAATAAAGAAAAAGAAAGAAGGGTTAAATATTGACAGGAGGGAAGGCCTGAACATATAACCATGTTTTTAATTGACTCTTGAAAGTGCCCAGCGTAGGGGCTGCACGAATCACCGGAGGAAGGTTATTCCAGAGGCGAGGAGCCACTGCCGAGAAGGCCCGATTTCGTGTCCTTTCCTTTCGGGCCTCCCTCGGCGTTAGGCCCCTCAGCCTCACCTCCTAGCTCGTGCGGGTGATCCGAGTAGATCTAGGTGGGAGCAGGCGTTCCACCAAGTATCGATTGTAAATAATTGTAAAACTGCATAGGGAGACCTTCTCAAAGGGCTGTTGTACTTTTTGCTGGCAGGGGCCTTGCACCTTTAACATGACATATTTCATGACAGAAGTTGAGTAGAGCACAATTTTCCTAGCAAAGAGATGGAATGATAGAATTTCAACAGATTAGATTTTCCATTATGTTTTAAAGACATAACTTTAATGTTCCAACTAGAGATGGGGGTATTTGTATATCCCCACACACAGGTGGTGTTAATGAGGGTCCAGATTCCAAAATAATTATGCAGTCATTATTTCATAGTGAGGACTCTTTAACACAACTGGTTCTCTGCATATTTTGATTTTGCAGCTTTGCAATTTGTCAAAGTGAAGATAATACATTTAATACTAGATTCAGTGTAGATTCATTTTCAAACAGGAATGAGGGAAATTAAAACTGAGTTACATTTTATCTAGATCCAGAGAAATGTTATCAGAATTACTGATGCATCATCCTTGGATAATTTAAGGCCAGGTCTTATACTTGGCTATATATTACACATCTATTGGCTTTTGAGTACTGCATGATCCTACTGCAGAATGCTGCGACCATGAAGGGACCATTCAAATAAGCAAGTTACTGTCTTCAATCCCTCGATTTCTATATTGTCACAGTCCACCATAAAGCACTTAAACCCCTCTGCTTTCTATAATGCTGGATCGTGCCAGACTTTGTGGTTTAAGTAAGCTTGTAGTAATTCATAAAAATGGAAGGGTATTAAGCTACGATCGAATAGGGAATAACTTCACTGGTCAGATGCCTTCAACAAAGCTCTTAAAAGGCACCGAAATCATAGAATGATAAGGATTAAAGTGATGGTAGCTCCCAGTACTTCCAGAAGTACAAGCTGGATTTCGAAGGGGCAGAGGAACTAGAGACCAAATTACTAACATGCGATGGATTATGGAGAAAGCCAGAGAGTTCCAGAAAAACATATACAGGTACTGTATTTCTGCTTCATTGACTACGCAAAAGCCTTTGACTGTGTGGACCACAGCAAACTATGACAAGTTCTTAAAGAAATGGGAGTGCCTGACCACCTTATCTATCTTCTGAGAAATCTATATGTGGGACATGAAGCAACAGTTAGAACTTGATATGGAACAACTGATTGGTTCAAAATTGGGAAAGGAGTACGACAAGGCTGTATATTGTCCCCCGGTTTATTTAACTTATATGCAGAATACATCATGTGAAAGGCTGGACTGGAGGAATCCCAAACTGGAATTAAGATTGCTGGAAGAAATATCAACAACCTCCACTATGCAGATGATACCACTCTGATGGCAGAAAGTGAGGAGGAATTAACCTTGTTATGAGGGTGAAAGAGGAGAGCGCAAAAAATGGTCTGAAGCTCAACATCAAAAAAACTTAAGATCCTGGCCACTGGTCCCATCATCTCCTGTCAAATCGAAGGGGAAGATATGGAAGCAGTGACAGATTTTACTTTCTTGGGCTCCATGATCACTGCAGATGGTGACAGCAGCCAGGGAAATTAAAAGATGCCTGCCTCTTGGGAGGAAAGTGATGACAAACCTAGACAGCATCTTAAAAAGTGGAGACATCACCTTCCCAAACAAGGTCCGCATAGTCAAAGCTATGGGTTTTCCAGTAGTGATGTATAGAAGTGAAAGCTGGGCCATAAAGAAGGCTGACAAAGATATATGGAAGTGAGGTATATGGAAGTGAGAGCTGGGCAATAAAGAATTGATGCTTTTGAATTGTGTTGGGGGAGGAGACTCTTGAGAGTCCCCTGGACTGTAAGGAGAATAAACTTACCCGTTCTGCAGGAAATCAACCCTGAGTGCTCACTGGAAGGACAGATCCTGAAGCTGAGGCTTCAGTACTTTGGCCATCTCTTGAGAAGAGAAGACTCCCTGGAAAAGACCCTGATGTTGGGAAAGAGTGAAGGCAAGAGGAGAAGGGGACAACAGAGGATGAGATGGTTGGACAGTGTCATCGAAGCAACCAACATGAATTTGACCCAACTCCGGGAGGCAGTGGAAGACAGGAGGGCCTGGCGTGCTCTGGTCCATGGGGTCACAAAGAGTCGGACACGACTTAACAACAACAAAGCGGGGTCGACCTCCTTCTTCCAAACGAGAATGCAACGCGAACGCGGTAAGTTTTCCTTTTTGAATTCCCAACGGAAAGTCGCAAAGTGCTTCGAGGCAAACCGAGGTACAGCCTACTGGGATTCTGCTTCGGAACTGCGTGGACGTGTGTCAGAGAAACCGGCGGACCGCAGAGAAAAGCCAAGCCACCCAAGCTGTTGGGGGCCGAGAGACTGCGCGTGACGGCGTCCGAAATGCCGCGGGTCTTTCCTATTTAGCCCTGAAGGCGCCGAAGGCAAACCCGCCGGCTCAGAAAGAAGGGCGCCGGTGTCTACCCTGGACTTCGGCGCAGACTCGGGAGAGCCTCCGAATCAACTTCGCCCCGCCCGCAAAGAAAAGCGCAGAGAATCTTCAGCCTGCTGGAACTGGAATCTGGCCCACAGGAGGTGGGCGGGACCCACAGTGATGTCACGAGCCGGTTTCCC